GGGGGGGGGAGTCGTGCTTTGGGAGCCCCTGACAGAAGTGGGTCATGGCGGTGATAATGAAATAAATATAAATGACCGCTAATCAGCCGACAACGACACGAATCGGTAGTTGTTCCAAACATGTGTATAAGGGTAATGGATTACTTAATACCGAGCGCAGCGGCGAGCAGCGCACCGCGACCGCGCCACGCTCCCGTTCCGCGCCGAGCCGAGCCGTCGGGCTCCTTTCGGAGGCTGCGTTACAGTTTCGGAAACGATTAACTTCGGGCTTAGGCTTAGGAAACGGTCCGGTTGTCTCCGGACGTTTATGCCCTTGAATAGAGTCCCTTTATACCCAGAGTTAAGACAACTCACTTTTGGTTGGGCTGAAAGTAGCCTAAAAACAAATCCAATTCTGATTGGTTCTCGCTCATGGAGGCCGAAACGAGTGCACCAAGATGGCGGTACCTCGAATGTGAACAAGAATAATGGAAATATTACCTAATTGTGGTTTATCAAGAGTAAATTGTTATTGCCATCGGTCTAAAATGAAAATAGATTAAGAAATTATTCACAAACCAATCTAATTTTCGTTTTAATTGATCAATTTGTTGATGTTGTTGTTTTTGTGTGACAGACATCGCAGGATTCCTGATCCTTATCCCTCAATATCGTTTGTTTGGGTGCACTCGTTTCGGCCTCCATGGCCAGCCAAGGCCGGCTGCCAGTCAGCTGATAATCGAGTTGTCTTAACTCTGGGTATAAAGGGACTCTACCCTTGAATAGAGTCCCTTTATACTGAGCGTCAAGACAGTGTGAATCCATTTCTGATTGGTTCGCGTATTTTTGGCCTTCACAGTGTCACAAACGGGAATAAAGATTACATTTTCACCGATCGCAAAGATTATAATCTGGAGTGGACCAAGGAATTACGGGTTCGGCGAGGAGCAAACGGAATGAGAGAAGGAACGGAGAAAGGAATTTGAGAATGGACCGATCAAAGATTACAAAAAACGTCCCATTTGTGTAATCTTTCTTTCAGTTTGTGACATGTGACATCCATAAGCCGCGTTGTCTCAACTCTCTCTACAAAGGGACTCTACCCTTGAAGAGTTTCTCCGCAGAGTATGATCAGGGTGTCTACAAGTCCGGAAATAGTACTGATTTCTTAAGCGCGGTCCGGAAGTACTGAAAAAGTGCGGAAATTCCGCAAAAAGGTCCGGAATTTTTTTTAAAGTTTTTATAATTTTGTCGAAATTTCAAATTTTTGAAATTTTTATTATTTCGTCGAATGGAGGTATTGATTAAGTACGGAATTTTTCTGTTGGAGGAGGTACTGAATTTCTTGAGAATGTACTGAAAAAGTACTGTAAAGGTACTTATTTTTTACCAGCCTGTTTTAGTTGACACCCTGGACTATGGAATTCTGGAAAGGAAGCGTTCGTGAATTATGTTAAGATGTAGGTGAGGGGAGGGGGCGGCTATGAGCATGCGTTACCAGGGGAGGAGAGGTTGTCGAAAAGGGTGGAGAAACTATGTTTTTTGAGGGGTCGATCCTATCCTAGGATCCCCGATTTTGTAGAAACCCCTCGATTTTGTCCTCTTCTTCGTTTTTTGATGTTTGGTTCCTACGAATTAGCTAAAAATAACAAAATATATGGAAACAGCAGCTCCGTTCGTTTAAATTAATCGAGATATCGCGCTTTGAAAAAGCCGTTCAATGACGTCATCCCCCGCAGTAGTGACACCCTTGGTTTCTTCCATCCTGCTTTCATATTTAGTCAGGGAGTCCTACATTTGCGGTCACTCGACGGATGAAAACTCGGATGAAAACAAGGTGGAAGAAACCAAAGGTGTCACTCCTGCGGTGGATAACTTCTAATAGAATTTTACAAAGCGCGATATCTCGGTCAATATCGAACGTAGAAAGTTGCTGTTTAGACAGATCTCATTATTTTCAGCTGATCTACAAAAATCAAGCATCAAAACACGATTCTGTGAATAGCGCAACACTGACCTAATGTGCTTTTAATCTAACGTTTGAAAAACTACGTTACTTGCACTACCTGTTTTGTAAACTTGCGTTCAGATGGATATTATTAGTTTTTGCTAATCGCTCGATTCTAACCATCAAAACACGATCATTCATTGACGTGAACAGATGACCCATTTCACTCGTATCTCTGCTGCGCTCGACTTTTCCATCGACACATTGCAAAAGAGCAAGTTGTTGGAAACTAGCGCCTCGCGGTTCGTGGAACGGTCGTCCGGTTCATTCAAATCGTCACGAACGCAACCGATAGTGTTGTTTTTCGCTGATTCTCGTCGATTTCCTACCACGCAAGGCGCCATTGTTTTTAAGCCGCATCGGCAAGTCAAAATCGGAGAATGCTATCACGTAGGTTTTCACTTTCATTCATCGTCGAAGTTTTGCGGCTTCGCGGTAAACAATCCTCACAGTAACGATTAATCGACGCTGAAAGAGCATACGAGGTAGTTTTGATCACAACGTTTCCAAATTTGTGCTTCTGCTTCGTTTTTGTGAAGTTGATTATTTCAAAATTCGTCCACTGTAAAAAAAAGTTACGGGCTATATAGACATACCGTCCGTTCCGGGTTCAGAGGCCGAAAGTTCCAGGTGCTGGAGCCATAGCTTCGACTGCTCCGGGCGCCACGCACGAAACACGGACGGTATGTCTATATAGCCCGTAAGAACGACTTCCTCAGCCGGAGTTTTTTCTTCGGTGTCGTTCCCCTCACGAAATAACGTAAATAAATTTAAATGTTGCCAAATTTCCCCACGCATATTGCATTTTTGCCAGGAGTATCTTTGACAATTTGAACTGAAAACTACGCTGGATTTTCCTTCGATCATGCAAAAATCAAAATTTTGGACGTAAATTGCTCAGGTATATTTTTGTCTAAAATTGGATCGTTTGAGTCAATTCTGCAACCGCGGAATCAAGTTACGTTCTTTCATCCGGGAAATGACGGATTGTGTAGCGAAATTCCAAGGAAAAGAAGAAAAATTACTCGATTTTCTACAAGAAACGAATGGTGATCAATCACCATTTAAAAACGTAAAATTCAACATGCAATATCACAAGCGCCTTGCGCTTTAATTTTTACTTATTTTTTTTACAGAGAAATTGTTGGTTGAATCCGTTTGAAAAATCGCCGAATTCTATCGGCAGCACTCAGAAAATTCGTGAAATTTTCGGACAGCTTCGTCGAACAATTTCTCTGTAAAAAAATAAAATGGCGACGGATTTTTTCAAACGTCGCATGCCGCTTGGGATACTTTGGCCGGAAGGATATGCCCTTCAAACGTGTCACCTCTTCACCTTGTTTTTAATTTGTAGATTACCGTCGGTTTATTCAATGAAAATTAGGTCATTTCAAACGCTGAAGCCATTTACAGGTTTACCTCCTAGGTGTGTTCTTATTTCCTGTTCATCGCCAGCGTTAGCAAAAAACGAAGCTGCGGTCAGCAGAACTTTTTTATTGTTTCTCTGCCCCTAATCCTCTGGTTTTTATCTGTTTCAGGTGTAAAATTACTTCTGTCACCTGTAGTTGTGATACAAAAGATATTTTTTGGTGTCAACATGTGGTTGCCTTGTCCTTGTATAGAATCAGAAATGCCGAAAGTGTTAGACTACGTGTTCCTATATCAGGTGAGTTCCGTTTTCTTTTATATCACTCGTGTTCGTCATGCCAGTCTCCCTCTCTCTCCTTCCCTTTATGTCCATTTTTTCACTGAATAGCAGTATGACGAGTTCATTTGCCCTCGATTATTCTGTGGAACTTCATTTGTACTCCGCGGAGAAGGGGGATTTACGGTGATTTTTTGTTTCTCTGTATACAGACGTGATTAATGAACTGAGCTTAATTTATTTTTTCAGAATTTTTTTTCGTGTGAGAAAAAGATTAAAACATTTTTAAGGTGCGAAAATGTGACGTGTAGTGACGTCATGTAGCGATGTCTCAGCTCCCCTTTAAACGCGTTTATTTCAGCAGATTGGGTAACTCTACTGCGTTCTCTTTGGTAACTTTCCAATGTAAAATTCGATTGTAGCCTTGAGCTAACTCTTTTGAGGCGAGTCAGTAATTTTTATAAACAATGGAATTTCCCAAATATTTAGGATGCATCTTCCGCTGTGTAAATAATTCCAGTAAAAATTGTTTCATCAGAGTCTCTTTTTAGGGACGCTATTCTGTGGTGATTATTAAAAAACACATATCTCAATCTCGGTGTTTCAGAACCGGTTTTTTTTAAAAAAAAAAGCGTAGCAAACGAACATTATTGTTTGGTATTTTCTGAGAATACTCTGTATATAATTGAGAAAATCATTCGAGCAAAATTTTCAACAAATAGTGCTCATTAGTTCTGCGCTGAAAATTAAATTGTGCAGGGCTGCTGCAAGCCGGCCATTCAATTACATGGATTCTATGAAATAATGCTTTAATTCCACAATAATGCTGCTTTAATTGCCTAATGTGTGGAAAACAATTGATTTTTGGTGAGGCGGCTTCCTTCGCCCTATATCGATATTTTTAATGGGTTTAAATGGAAGAAAAACAGTGTTGCCAACTTGCAAAATCGTCACTGCTTGAACGCTGCTCAGCGAAAATAGACAAGCGACAGCCGATTAGTGGGCGTAGCGTTTTTTATAAATGAATAAAACTGATGACGACATACTTAACCTGAGTGATGTCGACTAGATACATCCGAGGATGGGATGATTCACTGGTCGTCCCGTTCCCGCTGCAGTGTTGCAGTTGCACAACCGAATGCATAAGTAAACCGTTGCTGAAACCCACGTAAAGCCCTTTTTCTCTCTAATGATTCAGTCAGGACGCACGCTTCTCACCGTCAGCCCGGCTTTTGCCCGAGAGCGTGAGTGAAGACTTTTTTTTCACCGGCTGTAGGTGTCGGCCCTGATCTTTTGTGCACCTCGCACTGTTTTGCAATTGCAAGGGCGTCATTGAGTCCCTCTACGCCGTCGGAACATCTCGAGGGTATGACGTCACGAGCCGTCGAAAAGATTACGCGACTCGCGCAATCTCCGGTAATCTCTATTCGGCTTAATCCCGTGCTCCGTCGGGCTGAAAAGAGAGCATTCTCTGGAAAACCGCTCAGCAGTGATATTCAAAGGTTTTAACTATCATTAACGACATCTTAATTGAATACTTGTCTAATTAGTGCTGAAAGTTATTCATGTATGCCGAACAGCATGATGCACACTGATGCAGACCTCCGAAATGAAAGCCAGAGTGTATTTCACTCTGAAGCGTATACAGCTGCGTATCAAACAACCCAAGTGACATAAAATCTTCTCTTTTTGTGGTATTTTGCTTTTTTTCTGTTTCTGGAACACTGGAAAAAAAACACATTGGATCTAGAGTCCAGACTCTTGAAAACATTGACAAGAAAAAGGACTCTTGATTCAATCAGATTTAAGCTTAAATCAAAAGGAAATCCGCTCAAATTAAGAGGCTCGGTTCTTGATTTAAGCTGAAATCTGATTGAATCAAGAGTATTTTTTCTTGTCGATGATTTTGTCTGGACTCTAGATCCAATGTGTGTTTTTTTTTTTTCCAGTGAATTAATTTAACTGCGTATTCGCATCATTCGGGTTTTTTGACAGCTCTGTATACACTGCGGGGTGAAATACACTCCGATGTTTTGAGTATTGTAGTTAATACACGTGCCATACGAACTCGAAGCATTTTCCCTGACAGTAAGAAAGGGAAGTTCGGTTACATGAACCTAAGCGCGGAACAAGGGTGCAAAATCTGTCCGATCGTGCGATCCGCGATCCGTGGATCGCATCGAAAAAGAATTTCCGAAAAAAATTACGATTTATCGATCTTTTCGACTTTTCGGGGACATTTCGATCAAATTTTCAAAACTGGTGAGCACCAAAGGAAAAAAAAGAAAAAAAAACCGCACCTATAAATTTGGGAAAGCGAGGACATTTTTTGAAAGTGATCGAGGAAGGAAAAAATTCTTGATCGCGTGGAACTTTCGGCGGAATGACACTTTTTGCACCCCTGATGTTAAGTTTCATTTCGGTCACACTATTTTAACTTACTTAACTAAAATATCTAGCTCATACGTAAAAACTCTCTTCTTTTGAATATGCATGCCGAGACGGATGGCACGTATGTTGTTTCTAAACTGAGCCAGATATTTTTATTAGCAATTGCAAAATGTAGTCCACTAGGTTGGGTACTTGTGTTCATGTAACCATAGCTGTAGCTTAAACCGAGCTGTAGGAATACTTGGTTAGCATTAATCGCAACGCACGATGAGTTGGGCTGTAAGAGCCGAGAGCACGGCATAGAGTACATAGAGTCGTAATGTAAGTGGGTGAGCTGGCGCCACTTTTAAGCATTTTCCAGGTCCCGAATTCCGAGACTCCTGTGTGACGCCGGGTCATTTTTTCGATACATAATCGATTGTTTGCGATACACGGGTACCTGGCTATCCGATGTAAACAAAGAAGATAGGAATCACCACGTATTCCATACCGCCATTTTGGATCGAACATGTATCGAAAGAGTGACCCGAACTCTGCGCACACCGGGCTCGGAACTCGTCGAGCAGAACATGGCGCCAGCTCTCCCATTTACATTACGACTCTATGTACTCTATGGAGCACGGTTACCATGCACAAAGCGCGGGCGCCAAGCGCAATATAGGTACTAAGGTTTGGACCCTTAAGTTTCTTCTACGAACCATACTTAGGTTTCTTTGACGATTACCTCGGGCCTCGGGTGCAAGCGGCAGGTGCTCCGGGAACTCCGAGCACGAGCAGTGGGACACGCAATGGCCGCAACCTCGGCACGGAGCGACGCCAGTCACACTGTTCCGGCCGTTTATTCCGGTCGCTGAAGCCAATCAATGAGAAAACCGTGCATACAATTTACATTGAAATCCGGCCGTCGTTTGTTCTGCCACCATTAACTCTTTCATAAACCGAGAATCGACCTTCCGCGCCTTCTTCGAGTCGCCACAGCCGCGCCACAGCGAAAAGGATTCGATCTGGTTTCGTTTCGTCAGCCTCAGCAGCGCCGGATGCTTTTCCCACTCACGGCAACGTTCTAATTTTCCGGACGTTTGCTCGATTTCCGAAACCGTCGGAACTTTTGCCGAAACGTGTGGTCCTTTTAGTGGGCTGATTGTTGAAATTGATAGACAAAGCTAAAGACAGAGAAGACTTCGGGAGTATTAAGCAATCTTATTGGTTGAAATGGTTCGTGCCTGTAGACAAAGGGAGAATATGATGGACTAACTGTAGGGTCTCTTGTGGGCTGCCGTTAGTTATAGTCTATTACCTACCTCCTATATCCATCGCAACCACCCACTCCCATTTTGTCTTCTTTGTCCATAGCTTCGTCTATGAATTTCAATAATCGGCCCGCATGACAAAGATGACCGATTTTCATAGGAGGAACGGTCAAGATGCACCTTTACCATCAAAGACTAGCTCGTCCTTTTCTAGATGTTGCGCATGCTCCGGGCTTGTTGATAGCCAAAAACGATGTAGTGTCAAGAAAAAGGATGTCAGAGGATGTGTGAGAGAACTTTCCCGGGGAGGCTCCCGGGAATGCCAGGCTAAAATCCACTTCCCCGGGAACCTCTCCCTCTCATACAGGGTAATCACTCACACATTGAAGAATCTCTCCCCGTCCCTAGCATCTGACTTTCCCGGGAAACTCTCGCTGTTATACACGGTAATTACTCACACTTCGAAGAGTCTCTCCCCGTCCCTAGCATCTGACTTTCCGGGGAAATTCTCGCTGTCATACACGGTAATCGCTCATACTTCGAAGAGTCTCTCCCCGTCCCCAGCATTTGACTTTCCGGGGAAACTCTCGCTGTTATACACGGTAATCACTCACACATTGAAGAATCTCTCCCCGTCCCTAGCATTTGTTTTTCCCGGGAAACTCTCGCTGTTACACACGGCAATCACTCACACTTCGAAGAGTCTCTCCCCGTCCCTAGCATTTGTTTTTCCCGGGAAACTCTCGCTGTTATACACGGTAATCACTCCCCCTCGGAAGAGTCTTTTCCCGTTCCCAGCACGTGACTTCCCCGGAAAACTTGAATCCACTCTTCAGATTTTCCGGGACCCGAACCTCCAAGCTCCTGGTCGGTGGCCGGGCCTCCGGGTCATGTTTACTTTCACCGAGGTCACCCCCGACGCTGCACCGGCGGCGGCGACGCGAAGTGCAATGACGTGACGTGCACCGGGAAAAGTGACGTCGTCGTCCTCGTCCTCGGTCGTCCTCTCTCTTCCACTTTCCTCTTCGTCCCGGTGAACTCCGCCGCGGCGTCAGCTGGGGCATCAGCTGTTGGTTCCGTTTTCACGCTGCTCTTTCAAGGTCATTCGCTCGCTCCGCGACCGTGCTCGCGGCTGCTCCCCCCTCGCCACCGCGTCTCCTCCTTCGTCTCTCCTGTTCCCCTCTTCTCGGCGCCGCGTCCGCTCCTCTCTTCCCGTCCCTTCCACACGGGCTCCGGCGATGGCTCCGGAATCCTGAGTCGCGCTCCGGGCTCTCCGCGGCTCCGATCGGGAGCATCCTGATAGGAGATTTGTGCAAACCGACAACACCGCTTTTCCTCCATTTAAATGCACGTAAAGTCATCGATTCTAGGTAAGGCAGGCTGCCGGCTGCCCCGACTGGACCCAGTGTTGCCGGCGCTTCGGAAAACCGGGAATTTGGGGAAAGTCGGGGAACTTGCGACGACTGGGAAATTCGGACGCATCTACCATCACTAAAACATGTGGAACATATGTCATCTATGGAATTTATCTTCTAACTGCTTTCGTTTTCTTGTCATTTTTTAGGCTAACACCGACTACTGAATGCTTTTTTCCATTAAGTTAGCGTATTTGTTTTATTTTTATTTTATTTTATTGGAAATTTTTGTTTGGGGGTCCGGGAATTCGAAAATTTTCGAGTTAGAGAAAAGCAATAATAGCCATGAAAAATCAGGGAAAATCAGGAAATTTGAAGGAGAAGAAGAAAAAGAAAAAGAAATTATGGCAACCCAGGTAAAGCGATCGACTCTTGGTAAAGCAGACTGCTTTGTTTGGACTAGATTTTGTATTCTAGAACTGAAAATCCTGGCTCAGTTCAGAAACAACGTACGTGCCATTAGTTTCCCTATGCCCATAAGTGTTTTTTCGGATGAGCCAGACTATGGAATCTCCGTTAAATGCAATTTTTCCACCATTCTTATCGTGTAAAATTACTCCGTAAATAAACTAAGGTAGTATACCTATTTATTAGGCGATAAGATCCGTTTCATGAACGAATTCGATTTTTCAATTTTTCGTGTTCACTCTTTTTTTTCAGAAACGTTGCTGCAGATGGACAGGCAGCAGCTACAGAAATTCGTTCAGTATCTCATATCAGAGCATCATACAGAAGTGCTTCCCACGGCTCAGAAACTAGCCGATGAAATCCTTCAACAGCGTTCTGAAATCAACCAAATAGCAGGTATTTGTCTTAAGAATCCCTCTACGTATTGTATATTGGAACAAAAAATTAGTTACCTACTTGTCACGAAAGTTCTTTGTTCTAAATTGTTTCTATAATCCATGTATATGACAGGGCTTAGGGTGAGGGTTCAAACTTCCAAGCGTTAAATTTTTAGGATAGCCAAAAACAAGGTCTCCGTTGAGGGGCCTCGGGTATCATACCTACTTCCTTGGTATCCCAATCTTCATGAAACTAAAGGCGCCTTTTTCTCTGTGACATTCGTTTAAGTATGAACACAAAGTCAGAGATGTTATCCCAAGAATATTGAGTGACCTCACTCCAAAAGTAATATTGTATCATTATGCATCGTATGAAAGTCACCTGAATTTGCAATATCTTTCAGGAATTTCGACTCCTCTGTGAACCGAAAATGGGTGAGGTAGGTATTACAAAAAACTAAAAATTTATTCGTGTCGATCTTTTCTGTGCATAAAAATAAGGAATGGCAGGAAGGAGATTTAATTTCAATCAAAATGCTGCTTTTATCATATGAAATAAAAATATTAAATCTAAACTTAATACCTACTTTATTTATGGTTTTATTCCATTTTATTTTTTTAAAAAGTGAATATTACTAACCTCTTATATTCTCAACTAAACTTCCCAATTTTTTTGTTAATTTTTCAGGCGCTCCAGATCCTACAGCCGGTGCTAGTGCTGATGACGAGCACTCATGGCATTTAGACGAAGAACAAGTTTGCGAACAAGTGAAGTCATATCTTGCTCAAGGCAGTTACTACAATGCCAACAAACAGCTCAATTCTTTATTTGCAAAGGTAATGACTGCTAAAATATAAAAAACACCTGCAACAATCGCACTTCAACATGTGACTTTAAAAAAGTATCTCCAGAACAGTATTTTTCAGTTAAAGCATGCTATTTTTCTATGTTATGTAGAAGTTTGTGAAATTTTTAAGTTCTTTTCTAAAGAACCATGTAGAGTGATCTGGATATTTCTTAGGAAATACTTCAAGTAAGCGGATCCCTCAGTTCTCATAAAAAACAAGTAATTTTAATACATAAGCATATATTTATGGATATACATCCATATATTTTTTTTAGATTGGATCCTTATTTTTCTTATTTTCTTTGTCATAGGTGCGAGAAATGTTGAGAGCTAGAGATTCCAATGGAGCTCGAATGCTAACTCTAATCACGGAACAGTTCCTATCAGACCCTCGGCTTGTTTTATGGAAATCCCAGGGTACTCCCATGAATGACAAATGCCGTCAGCTATGGGATCAACTTGGTAAGCACTTTTACTAAAATATCTGTAAGCTTCAACTGTCATCAGCGTAAAATTAAGAAGAGGTATCTGAGAATTTCTTTAGGAAATACTATTTAAAAAAGTTAAATGCCAAATGTTCTCTTGTAGCATATACATTTTTTAGAAAGTAATTTTTTCTTGAATTATGTTTTCCTTGATGCACAGTTACTTTTTGATCAATTATTTTTAAATGTGTTTTTTTTTCCCCTGGTCCCACCTGCTTGTTTGAGTTCTAGCTCACCAGAGCAATAAATATTTGCTCAAATAAAAGCAGGGCAAGGGCTTTGCTGAGATTCTGAATCTCAGTCATTCAACATTTGTCAATCATAAATCATCAGCCAGTTTTTCAAGTTTAAGAAAATTCTCACTGTTTCTCTTTAAAATATATCTCGCGTTTTCAGGAGCTTTGTGGGTGTGCGTTGTTTTGAATCCACACTGCAGTACAGCAGAAAAGCAACATTGGAAGGTTATGTTGGAAAAGTGGACAAAAATCGACATTTGCCCCCAAGAGGACCCAGACTTCAGGCCTCCTCCCTCGGTATGTAATAAATTTTAATGTTATATTACCAGCCTTTTGTTTTTGCAATCTTGTGTATGTCTACGTTTCTCATAGCTGTTTTCTTGATCATTAAAGGTTAGCTGATCCTATGAGGATTGATTTCATATTCTGCTGAGTAACTTTCCCTAACTTTCCTTTCCATAGACGTTCGGTCCAAATAATACAATTCTACCACTGAATCTCCATTTTCGCCAAATCAGACAAGTAACATCATTAAAATTTTGAAGATAAAGTATGGAAGAATGAATAAATTTCTTGAAATATTTGTTTTTTCTAAGTCCCTCTCATGGGGCAGGAAGTTATGAAAAGCTGTTCACATTCTTACAGACACTTCTACAAACACTATGATGACACTTAATTTACAAATTAACACTTCCTCTTCCAAGTATTCATGTATCTTCCGTTTTATATCTAAATATTTTATACATTTTTTTTTGTATTTTTCTCTCAGTTTTTGTCTCTGCTGGGCAGACTATAGTTTAAGGTAGAAACAGCCATTACAAATAAAAGAAAACTAATTTTGAGTAGCTTTCACTCCCAGTGGCAATATTAATTTAATATACCTACAAATATTCAAGATATAGTGAAAAAAATACATGAGCCTGTCAAATATATAATGGTAAAATTTAATTTTATACCTACCTAAGTTTTTAAAGGGATTATGTACTGCGAACAATTTTGAAGTATTGATATAGACTCCGAAAACTTGTTTCTGATAAATCAAAACAATTGGTTTAGGTTGAAATATCGTGAGTCTAACTATACTTTGATTTTTTATTCACTATATTTTTTTCAATACTTATAAACTTTTCTCGTTTTTTTTTCAGTACCATGGAGGAGGAGGAGGTTACCATTCCTCTGATAGTTCATCTGATGAAGAAGGAGGAAATAACCCCCGAGAGAATGTTCGTGATAACCACCGTAATGACCGCAGAAGACCATGGTCTCGGTCCCATGGGTCAAGTCATAGTAGAGCACCTGCAATCCCTCGTACTATTTTTCACAGGTGCGTTGCTCAACTACAAACTGATTTAGTAATACCAAAGTCATTTTTAAATGGTATCCTCCTGTATTATTAACCATGAAATCTGCCCTCCCAAGGAAGTGGAAGAGTTTTTTATTAAGGTGATTTCCAACCGAAACACAAAACTTTTTATTTTACTCTATTAGTGACTGATTCGAATTTTCTGGCAACAGTTTCATATCAATTATTTTTACGCTGTTTTTCTCGTAATGATAACTCTAGATTCTTCCACTTTTGTTTTTATGTATTGTGTTCAATTACGGTTTCTATGTAATCTGATTTTAAAATTCTTCTCGGTTTGATTTTGAAGTCTTCCAATCCAAAAAAAAAGTCTATTTACTTTTCATTGTATTTCCTCTGCTGTTTGCTCTTGTTCTTCTAAATTAATATTCCAATTTTTTTTTTTATTCTTTCAGAGCGCTGGACGCTGTTGATATGTCCTGGGATAACATGCATTTGAAGCTTATTCTCTCAAGTGATTCCTATTGTAGCCATGTTCCTGACAGTTCCCTAATTTCTGGCAGTTTTAATTCTCAAGGTCAACCATTGTGGCATGGTAAGGACGTCCAATTTTTTGTTCTTTTAACTTCTTAATTCTGAAATAAATTCCTGTAACTAAAGGCTCTTTTACCACTTCTAAAAATCAAAATCTACTTAGGCCAATTTGCCCTTTGAATAAATCCGGACATGCTGTGCTATACCTGCAAAGGCCACAGATGTTAATTTTACCGAATTATAAGTGAGTCGCATCACAGAAGGGGGGAATAGTTTTGTTAAGTCGACCACAGGAAGTTGGTATGATATAAAAGCCAATTTAACTCCTGCAGATTTCAGTGTTTTGTGTGCATTAGGCTTTCAAGTTCTCCAAATTCAGACCCTGTTCAATGGTCCATCACCTAAAAACCTTAATCAATGAAGTTTCACAGAGACAAAGCTGTGGAAGAATGAATTTACTCACTTACGTTTATCTTATTTTTGTCTTTTGCAGAACCTCTACCTACCTGCGCAGCTCGAGTGGATGCGCTTCGATCTCATGGGCACTATGCCGCAGCGTTACGATTAGCAGTCTCTGTTGTGCGAACCATGAAGCAGCAGCAGCTGGACGCCCAACGCCAGTGGCATGAAAGTCAAACCCAAAAATCTAGTAGTAGCAGTCAGCAATCTTACCTCTCTCGCTGTAACGATAGTCATCATTCTAATTCTTGCTCACGGTGTTACAGTTACGACCACCGATCCAACCTAATGTGTTCGCCAAGATGCGTCTCAAGCTATGACCCTCACCAAGCTTGCTCTTCTAGGTCAGTGTCACAATTAACTAGTTTCTTTCAACCTCTTCTATCAATAGCCAATATAACTATCATTTTTCGCCTAACTTTTTCTGTGTGTAAGATCTCAATACCCTGTTTAAAGATAAAAAGTGGTTTGAGAAAAACAAGTGATTATCAGCGCTCTCCTATGAAAAATGAAAGCAAGTTGCCCTTTTAAAAATTAGTCCTCATAAACTGGTTTATATAAAAATTTTACAAGTAAGTGGAATCTTCATTTTCCTTACCTCCACTTTAGAGTCTGTAATGTCTTGAAAAGGCCTTTGATGTTCATAAATTTTTGAAAATTACTTGAGTATCTAATAGGAAATTCCTAAATTTTTCAGCTTATATTATTTCATCAATAACTGTTGAAATGGTCGGTCTTATTTTTTCTTTTACCGTTAAGGCCTCAAATATTTGTCAATTAGGTTTAGGTATCCAAACATCCTTTAGAGAGCCATCGCACAGGTAGAGGAAATTTTCGTTTTTAAGGCAACCTTTAAAAACTTTAAAATTGTTTTGTGCATCTTTGAAAGGGTTTAAAATTTTTTTGAAAATCTGTGACAGATCCTTCGAGGTTCTTGATTTTACTTATTAGATCTCTTTTCTAAGTTTTTGATCTTGGTTTTGAAAAATTTTCATGAAGCCCGGCACTCTCACTCAGCGAGAACAGTGCATTAATTATTTTTTTAATTTCTTTTTCTTCTAGGTGTTATGATAACCACCATCGGGGCTGTTCCTCTCGTTGTTATAACGACAATCATTCCCGTAACCAGGCCTGCACGTCTCGCTGCGGAATGGATTACTCCCGATACCTCTCCTGCACTCCTCGCTGCGCCAACTGCGACTTGCATGCAAGGCCCAACTACGTTTGCGTCAGTAATTACAGCTGTCGCTCTAGGTGTGGTTACTACGATAATCACCGCAATTCTTTATGCGGGTCTCGGTGCAGCGATAGACCTGACCGCTCAGAGAGACCGAGCAGTAGCCGTTCCTCCCACGATACTCGCGCTGCCTCTTATTCCTCCTCCTCATCTTCGTCTAATCCCAATTCTAGTTCTAGTTCTAGTAGCTCTTACACAGGTCCCCAGTCAAGTAGGAATCCGGCTGACGGGTGGGTAGGACACCCGTTGGACCCTGTGGGTTGCCTCTTTGACACTTTGGCCGAAGCCTCTTTAGTTCCTGATGATAGTGCTCCTCGTTCACCTTCTTATTTCGGTAAGCCTTTTTTTACCATCTTAGGTCAAATTTCATGTATACTCATCCCATGATATCACCTTATTCATAGCTTTTCATTAAATTCAACTTGGTTCTCCATCATTGATAACTCCATTTAAAAAAATCATTATTATAAAGTGGGAGTGCCTTTCAACATTGATTGGGTAGCTTAAACTATTTTTGCTACATCTAACCACTAAGCAAAGAGAGAATCAAACATTTTTACTAGAATATTACTTTTCGGTAAGATCCTGAGAATTTGACATCAATATTCTGATTAAATAAAATATTGCTGCAATAGTTCGACAATCATGGCCGTACAAAAAAGGCAACACTAGCAAAAACAAAGTCATAAGACTGATGCCAACATCGGGTGAATTAATATTCGGGCTGAATAACTACATAAAACCATCTCTGTGTTTGCTAATTTTACCTTCGACATTCACATAATATCCCTCTCAGTTTCAATATTTCTGCGACTAAGGTTTTATCGAAGCAGTATTGAAAGATATTGCTGCATGGTGGGCATTGTTGTGTATATTGATTTGCAATGATTCAGGTCTCATATTCTAGAGATGCTTTTCTTAGTTCAGAAAAATTTTGGACTCTTCTAATCTTCTAATATGGCTTTTGTTACGGTTTGTTGGGTAGCCTTTAGATTTTTATGAGGAGACAGTTTCATTTGTCAAAAGTTTCTTTGTTGCTGGCCTCTATTAAGTGCTTCAATTTTTCCAGACCCTGTTGGAGTTGAAGAGAACATGAACGCGATCAGCACTCCTCCTCGTTACCACCATGTTCCGGTCGTCGGTTCTAGGGATCGTTCAGAAACATATCTAACACTAGCAGTTGAGGTGGCGCTCATTGGCTTGGGTCAGCAACGTATCATGCCCCCTGGACTTTATGCTCAAGTATGTATTATGAGTATTTATTTGGTCTTTTTTAAAGTTACCTTAAATGGAGTTTATAGGCTATTTTCTGTTGTGAGCATTTCCTGGAAAAGTGTGTATTGACAGAGAATTTAAATTACAGGGAGAATTCTTTGTATCTGTGTATTTATTTAATCATTTAGGCTCAAAAGGCTGTTTTAAAAAATTAAAAACTGTATTCTGGACATATGTACTAGAAACTTTTGACACTCTAGAAAGTGGTTCAACTAATTTTTAATGTTTAGTAAATTTTTTCTTTTCATTTTGCCCTGTGGCACCAAAAATCAAAATTCTTTCTAGTATTATTCAAATAGTTTTAAAAAACATTTCACCGGTGCCTCAACCATTTCAGCCCTAATGTTTTTATTGCTTTTATATCTGCTTCTTCATAAGTTTTTTTTCTCATTTGCAACAATTTTTCCCTAATTTTTCTTCAATTTCTCTATTAAATCAGGAGAAAGCCTGTAAGCAAGAAGATCGTCTAATCGCAAAACTGCAAGAAATGGAACTTGACAATAGTTTAATAGCTGTCTTACGGCGGCAAGCAATCGTACTACTGGAAGGGGGGCCGACTAGTGGACTTGGTATCGGAATTCACTCCGAGAGCATTCCAATGCACACCTTTGCAAGATTTCTTTTTCTCGCACTCTTGAACTATTACCCAGATCTAGCATATGAAGTTGGATTGAGAGCTATGAGGTAAGTTTCTGTCATTATTTTTCCCTTTTCTGTCCTAAAATGATGAGATTATGTAAAATTTCTCAGTGACGTAAAATACATTGAAAACCTGTGAACAAAATTCCATTGAATAAAGTGTCCTCTTTCTAACAGAGGTTGGCAAAATCTGTCATAAAAAGTATTTTAAAAAGGAAAAAAACTTGAATATCAAGTCTTAGCATGCATTAACGTTATTGAATGGATTCAAATGGTCAAAAAGGCTCAATTTGGTGTTGAGTATTAGCCAAAAAGGAAAGTTCTATGGGTAGATAAGTTGCTCATTTGTTCGTCCATGGAAATAAAATCCTGCCCCTTTATGACTTTTCATGCAATTTAAGAGTGATTTGAGGATGAATATTTGAATGTCTCCTTTCATGCGTGTTTGTTCTGTTTAGACTGCCCATCCTAGAAGAGCATGGTGACTCCGATGATCCGGTGAGCGGCAATGTCTCTTCCTTGGTCATGAGCCGTTACCCAAGATGGTTTACCCTAGGACACATCGAAACACAGCAGTGCGCTCTTGCATCGACCATGCTTAGTGCTGCCAAAGGTATGTGTGTCTAAAAGGCATATTGAATAATTTTTGTTACGTTCGGAAGTGAAGGAAGTTAAAATTTATATTACACGATAATATATATTTGACAGAGTTTTGGACATAAGTAGTATGTAATCAATATTTTGGATTTTATTGAATTCTCTGTTGGCGAGTTACTGACACTCATTTGTTAAAACTATATGACACCCAACGCTAACTAAGTGAAGTTTTCTGGGAGAGTGCAATACCAGGAAACCTAAATCTTAAATGAGAAAATTCCCAGAGACATTCCTGACTGCTCTTCAAAAAGTGATTAATTTATTTGTTTGCACTGTGTTTGTGTGTTCCTTTTCAAAATTTCATAGAAGAAACAGAAGAAACTAAGTGGTTCCAGGAAAGTTTCCAGTTTGGTCCTTGACCACAAAATACTTAACTCTCAGAAGAATCTAAAAAAATCTGATTTAACATTACTTTTCTCAAAGTGTCTTCTATTTCCATGTAGCATAATTTTAAAATTGCTTATGCGGAGTTCAAACACCTCAAATGTGAGCTGACAATGGAAGCACTGATGTTTCCCCTAGTCCTCTCACTGGCCCATTGTGCAACTTGAGGTCAAGATGATCCCATTTGAAGCTCTCATTTGCAGCGTGTGAATTCAGCATCATACATTCCAAGCAAAGAATGAATTCTTACATTTATCTACTGGTGTTTTTCACTCTATGAAGCTTAATATTTTATTTCGTGTAACTTATTCCAGTATTTTAATTTCAATTCATCCACTTTGCAGGTGAAGTCATGAGACTACGCACAGTTTTAGAATCTGCTCAAAGACACATACATAGCTCTTCTCACTTATTCAAGTTAGCTCAGGATGCATTTCGCTTCGCAACGCCCGAAACAGGGCCGAGGCATCCCACCCTACTCTCAGTAGCTTTTGAACTAGGATTACAGGTTTGTCACATTATCTGCGAAATTTAATCTGTATTCATTTTGGAAACCTAATATTTTAATGGATTATTCATTTTTGTACTAGTGCACGAAAGGTTTATTCTTTGAACAATACTTGTTCAGAAAACCAGGTGCATTTAAAATTTTACTTGGTTGCAATTGACATTGTTCACACGTTTAACCTCAAAAACTTTTGAAACAGACGTTCTCTCCCCCAGAATTTTGAATTGAATGAATGTGTCTCTGTTTCAAACACTTAATGTTTTTTGCACTTGCTTTAAATACTTAAGTGCAACCAGTAAAGCAATTCTGTCAACTGGGAGTCGACACTTGAGACCCAGCATGAAATGGAGCCTTCGGCAGCCTTAAATGGGGAAAGTGAACTTTGGAACTTAATCAGATCTTTCCATGAACTCCAAGAAAACTGAAAACTTTTCTAATGTTGAATTACTTTGTTTGTAGGTTATGCGGATGACACTGTCATCATTAAATTGGCGGAGACGAGAAATGGTTCGATGGCTCGTCACTTGTGCCACAGAAGTGGGTGTGGACGCCCTTATTTCCATCATGCAAAACTGGTATCAACTTTTCACACCCACCGAAGCCACAGGTAATTTTGATTTTTCGTGTTATTTTATTTCTGTTCTTTTTATGTAAGATTACATTTTTTCTCTTTCTCTTAAAAGCTATCTCTGCTTCCCGGCTTGAGAGCTCAGTAGAGCACAAATTTCTGCATCTGACCATGAATAAAGTTTAAGAAATGAGAATGGGAAAAGAAAATTGGTTAGTTGCTGTAGTACTTTTGACTCTAAAAATTGCAGCTACACTATCAATGACAAGAGCTATTAGATAATGAAGTCAAACATCAATGATTTACTTCAAGCTCTATTTCTTCCGTCATACCACAGGAAGCAAATTTTACACCAAAAAAAAATATAAAAATACCTGCAAAAAATCCCCCATGAATGGAAATGTAACAAATTCAATTGTTTTTTTAATTTCAGGACCAGTTGCAACAACAATTATGTCTAATAGTACGATGATGCGTTTGAATCTCTCATACACTCAGCAGGAGGAACTGTCTGGGTGTGCTCGTCAGCTAGCCTTACAATGTGCCACTAAGGTAATTTTATTGCTTTGTTCATGAGTAATTCCTTCTTTTTGCCTAAATATTTAGCTCCTACCAGGCGTAAATTCCCTGAATTACTGCAGCAAAGCAAAGAGAAGCCTTCAGATAACTTAAATGAATATCTAGATCAACAATCATGGAGGTTGGTCTAGTAAGTTTAGTCCTGCTAGAATTCTAAGGACCTGCTGATAATTTCAGATGAAGTTTAGGACGCTGTGGGAAAAATGATACTGTTGAATCTCAGAAAAATAGAAATAATTAAGAAGAAACGACACTTTTATTGAGGACCATTCACCAAGAATATACCAAGAAAAAAACATAAGAAAAGCATAACCTCTCTAGATCTCAAATTTTATCAACAGCTGTTTTTTAGCAAGTATTAAACTTAACAATACTTAGGAGGCCAAACTTTCCAGGAAATTTGGGCAAACGATCAATTAAATAACATCGGTTTTAAAAAAAGCTTGCATCATTCAAATATTTCTGAAAACAGACGCTTTTTACTTGGTCCTTTTGGTCTTCCATTTTTCAATCATCTGAATTTTTTTCTCATCTAATGAGCCCTAGCCCAGACCAATTTCGTCAATCAAGCGACGATTGAATCCTCTGCTCCTCTATCAGCGTTACGTTTTTATAAAAGATGGAGCAATTCTTTCAAAGCTTGCATGTATTCATCCTTCTTTTTTACCGTCCCTTCTCCCCACATTTGGCAAAATTGAATCGCTAAAAGTTTTAAAATTTCCTTTCCTTGGCAGACCGCATTTTAAGACATGAATTGTATTAAAAAGGAATTTTAATTTGCTATTCACTCATTCTCTTAACTCTCAGTTTCATTGTTTTGTACCCAGGAAATGTCATAAATACTCATTTTGAAACTTATTGTTTTCATTTTACCTCTTTCACAGGACCCACCGAATTGTGCATTAAATGCGCTTACCCTTTGTGAAAGCGAAGCGCTGTCTTTCGAAACTGCCTATCAAATTGTAACAGATGCTGCATCACATATCATGACATCATCTCAGTTGTTCACCATCGCTAGATATATGGAACACCGTAACTACCCTACCCGTGCTTATAAGCTGGCCATGCTTGCCATGAAAAATGTTCATCTAGCATATAATCAGGTAAGTTTTATCAGTGCATTTTAGTGCCCTCTTTATAAAACTAACTGTCACCGTTTTCAAAGTAAAAATTTCAATTTGCCGTATTGAAATAAGAATTTTTCCTTCATTCCTTAAATTTTTTTTGGGATTTTAAAAAGGGAGTTCAAAAAAAGAAATGTAAAGATTAAACGTACTTCTATGCCGTTATTTCTCATTTTTAGCCCAAAAGTACGTGTGAAATCTGCATTTTAGCAAAATTGGTTTGTTTCACAGAGGTTGGTTCTCTTTCCCTTACTTTTCTCATGTAGATTACTGACTTATCACCAACCCTTGTTGCCATAATTACCTTCATCATCAAATCAAGTTTTCTACTCCATGTATGGCAGACTGTAAACTAATGAGTTTTTTTTTTTTAAATGCAGGATACTCATCCAGCTATCAATGACATCCATTGGGCCTGCGCGCTGAGTCACTCACTCGGAAAGTCTGAGCTGAGCAATATGATACCGTTGCTCGTGAAAAATGTGCAATGCGCCACCGTACTAAGTGACATCTTACGCCGGTGCTCGGTAACGGCCCCTGGGCTGTGCTCAATCCCACCCTCTGAATCAAAGCACCACCACCATCATCACCATCATCACCACCACCACCACCACCATCGATCTTCAAGCTCCATCAGTCGCAGTGCCATAAAACCGCTCTCCTATGACCGCCCTCCCTTGCGACAGCTCCTTGAGGCAGCGGTTGCCGCCTACATCCACACGACGCATTCCCGACTCACCCACATTTCTCCGCGTCACTATGGAGATTTCATCGAGTTCCTCGGCAAGGCCCGGGACACATTCATCTTGGCGCACGATGGTCATGCGCAGTTCACAACACTGGTAGAGAATATGAAATTAGCTTATAAAGGCAAGAAAAAGTTGATGTTGTTAGTCAAGGAGCGTTTTGGCTGACTATTGCAGTCTGGGGCCCTTCACTATAGGTAGAGGCCTGGAAATTTTGCGTTTATGGCTTCCTGATCTTGTTGAAGAATTTGTCAAAATATAACAAATCTTTTCCCAGGGTCAGTATTTCGATTAATATTTTCGAGATTGGCTCATTATTATTTTAAAGCCATTTATTTAAATACTTGGAGAAAAGCGCGCTTGGATTCATTCCAAACAATTTCTTTTTAACGAAGCAATTTTTAAGGGTGTTTTAGTTCTATCAGTCTCTTTCCATCTTTTAGTCTTATGAAATAAAATTGAAGCAGAAAGATAAAAGAAAAAAAAAATTGAAACTTTTCAATCTAAAAAGATTAAAAGAGATGCTTTTGTGTGTTATCAGTCTTAATAAGCGCTCCATTTTTGAGTCTTTCTTTTGGGTCAAACACTAATTTTTAATCTTGAAATTGTTGGGCGATGCTGTTAATGGAAGCAGGTTTCTACAATAAGTTTCAAAGGAGATGCCAGGAGAAAATTTTCAAGCCTTTTACCATTAGTGATCGGGTCGTAAGGCAGGCAAACCATATTAATCAACCTTTAAATATTTTTTGACTGTGATTACCTATTTATGCCTGTATGCATGCATATATTTGTTCATTAACCCATGCATATGCATAAATGTCTATTTTATTTTTATACTTTTCTTTTTCTTTGTGCTTAGTTATTTTATTATTTAGTTAATTGCGAAGTTAATTTTGATTTATTTGTATTTCAGTTTTTTTCCTTCCCATTTTTATTAGGTTTCAATCAATATTTTTTTTTGCGGGAAAGATTTTTCAAAATTCATGATTGTTTTTATGTTTTTTATTGGAGGTACAACAAAGTCCTCAGCAGTGAAACTGTACCACAGATGTTTTTTTTATCATCATACATTGAAGCACTATTGAATGTAAGATGCATTTTTTTTTCTTCCTCTATGATTTGAACTTACTAAATGAAAACTTTTTTGTTTTTTGTTTTCCCCCTCTTTTTTATGTTTATTATTTGGATTTTATGTGTCTTTTTAGACTACATTGCATTGTATTTTAATTCACATCATTATTTATTTTTTGAATACATACAGGCTACTGCTGCTCCCTTCTTGCCTTCACATTTTTAATTTTTGCAGAAGGAACTTTTTCATTTCATTCATTGATCCTGAATACCAAAGTCCAAGAGCTTTTGTCTTTTAATATCATAACTGGAGTAATCCAAAATCAGATTTTTCAGTCAGGAATTTTTTTTTCTCTTCTTTTTCTCAGATTCAGTTCCGTCAAAATATTCATTGAAATCTTGCAGGTTTCAGTTGAACATAACTACCTGTCAATACCCACCTGAGTTTTTAGGTATATATTACCATGATACTTACCTCAAAATTTAGCTATTTCCAAAGTTTTTTTATTCAGGCTTGTTTAATAATTCTTATCATTAGAACGTGTAAGCTGCTTGGTTTTGTACCAGTTGTACCGATATTTTTTTACCTTCGAGTTTGTCTGGAACAGTGTGAGGTTTGAAGTACATATTCGTTTTGGATGAAAAGTCGTTTCTGTTGTTTTTGTGTCCTCAGAGCAGTATGTAGGAAGAGCATAATCTTGCTATTAACGATTGATCAAGAGGTTTGATATTCGTGCAATCTGTTGTTTTGCTTTTTTATTCATTTGTTTCACTCTTGTATTTAATCGAACAATTTCAAAACTGAACTGATACTTTTCGATTGCATTTTGTGTTTTTACTGGAAGAATCTAACTAATCCAGCCACATGAATGTATATTTTCAATCTCTGAACGGAACTGAATGAATGAAACAGAGGCTGAGGTCAGACTGGATCTTAGTCTTTTGCTCCAATCTTTTGTTTTGTTGACTTTCCTAGAAAATGTTTTCTTTAACTCAACCTTGCATTTATTTTTGTTCTAGTTATTATGCTTTCTTGGAATGTTCTGTAATTTAATTGTTACGGAATAATGTTTTTATGTTTATTATATAGCTAAAAGAAGATTCTCCCAGAGACTTTCTTTATCTTTTATAATCTAATTTATCTCCTCCTTATTTATTTATTTTTTTTTTAAATTTATTTATCATCATAATTATTACTATAATATTTTGTGGGTTATTTTTTTTCTGTTTTATTTTTTTTGGTACCTCCCTATTTCTAAAACATACTTACATGCAATATTTACAAAACTGTAAAGAAGAAAATTGTTCTCAGCTAATGTAAAAATTCAAATGAATTTTTCCCCCTTTTTTGTAAATTTGTAAAGAAAGTATCAAGAAACTGCTTTTGTAAAAATATTTTGTCGTAGATGAGGAAGTCTACTCGAATATTATTTTCTTATCAAACTGTTTCGAAATTATTTTAAACTAAGTATATATAAACAATATAAGATCTCAAGTTTAAATTAAAAGTTAGTTTTAGTCGCATTTTGTAATTATGTACGTATTTTCAAGTATTTTTGCGTATTTATTTTTATGGTTCTTCGTAGCAGTAAGTAAAGAATTATTTTCACGATGTCGAATGTACTCACGTTGTATAAATTTGCGTCTTACCGTAACTCATGATAGATTTTCTGCTCTTAATTGTTATGTTGCAAAAAAGGCCATACCTAATTAATCTCAGAAAATATTAAAAATCAAACTTTTACGCCAGCATCCAAGTTAGTGTCAGTGTTAAAATTGTTCTATTCAAATTTAATATCCATTTTCCCTGAGTTTTAAAATAGGTTTGTTCCAACTTTATCTTTTCCTATGAACTTGTAAATTGAAGTAGGTTATTTCCTGAAACCATTTTCAATTTCCTCGAGGCTTACTTAAAAGAGTCTTGCCATTATCTTTGCATTTTGCTCAGACTCTTGCCTTTGTACTGCGATGCTGCTATCTACCCACTCAGTTTTAGACGGTAACAGCCCTCCATTTCTTCTATTTTTTACGCTGTCAAACCAAAGAATATTCTGTCCTTATTTATTCTTATTTTGTTTGTTTCCAAACTTGTGTAAATTTCTTCCAACCGTTTACTCAGAAGTGATTTTCTTTTCTATTCCTATCTAAGAAGGAATGTTCTTCGAATGAATTTCATTTACATATCGCGTAAAGGTTTTTTTTCTAACCTTTGTAGTGGCATCAGCTTTTTATGTGGATATCAAGCTTGTTTACATGCTATTTTGGGTGGAAAATGGCCATCTGAAACTGGGAAAATACTCTTTACCTCTAGAAGGCAGCATTGACCATAAAATCAAAAGAAATGCCCTCTGGATGTCAAAATTGTAGGAATTTTGATTTTTGCTGGTTGGCACCTTGCCAATTTTTCAAGAATTAATAATGAGAACGAAAAATTCTACTTCATTTTGTACCAAATAAAATCCTTCTTATGGCTCTCTACTATTTATTTTTTAATCTCCTCAGCTTGCAGCCTATTTTCAAGTATTAACCAGTCTAATTTCTGATCTATTTCGTATTTAATCATGTAGGGAAGACGAGGGCGTCACCCTCCAGTTTCCAGTAAAGATGAAGGCACTGAAAGGATCAGAAGATGTTAGACATATCTCTAATGCATCTTTTAGATGCTTGGTACATTTATTATTTATTTTTGAAGTACTAATTTTTCTTCCTTCTCAAGTTGTCACCCTCCGGCTAAAGTATCACAAGCGCCATTTGTGCCTAGACGCCATGTCTAAATTTCTCAAACTCTTCCAATCTTTTACGAGAGAACTAATGGACAGGATCACTTGAAAGTTTGATTTATTTTGTTATCAAGATTGATCCCTGAAATTTTCATGGGAGTTTGTGCAAAAGTTTTGAAGAAAAAATTAATACAATACTGAGATGTCCAGTAACATTGCGTCCAAGCGTTAATGGTGCCTGTGATATACTTAGGGTGGAGGGTGATTCTTATTTTTCTATGAGTAACTTATCATGTGATGTAATGAGTATAAAAATATTCTGTGTGAAGCATTTTTTTTTAACTTTTTAATTCTTATCTTAAAACTTAACCAGTTACCTCTCATGTGTTTCTGAGTACCTACCTATTCGAGACTCCTGCGAACCTCCTTTGAAAATCAAGATTATGTACAATGATTGAACTTTACCCGCTACAGTATTACTTTTATTTTTTATCTTGGAGATGCTAAAACTGTTGTTATTTAATGCATTATTAGGTACCATTTGTTTTTAGTAGGTATAATGAATTGATTGTGCAATCAAAAGCGTCTTCTAGAACGACAGCGTTCAAAAAAATTCTTTTAATACTTGTACCTACTTCTTTCATTGTATTTCAGTGGGCCAGTTGAGCAAGTCACAGAATTGTGTTCTAATGATGGAATTTAGAGACCAGCAAAAAATGGAAAGGCTTTTTAACACATAGTTTCTACATCCGATATTGATGGTGATATCGTTTTGATGATAAAACTGCAAAAATGCGTATCTCGGTTTCGGTGTTTCAAAATCACCACTCCTGTTTTGTTTTTTGAAAGAAGACCTAATCATCATCATGGCTTGAAATTCTTACAAAATATTTGCCACTCAGAGAAGAAAAATTACTGAAGTTAACAAGAGATGATTAGTATTCCATGAAGAAAATAAAGTATAGTAAGTAAAGTAAAAAGGTAAATAAATTTCCGTAGAATGAAGTATGACAGAAAGTCTACTATGTTGCAAACTGAGATGGGCGTTTCTGCAGTTTCATCATCGATTTGTAGGAGAATATAGTAAATAATATAATCCACCAGGAATATGCGTACCATGTTTCCACTAGCCTTGTTTTATTAACGTTGCACTTTTGATGTATTCTTTCAAAGAGCGGTGTCTCCCCATCAAAATTGGATGCATATAACTCTTTTACATTGTCTGCAAATTTTATATCTTTGTCTCTTACAACTGACCAACTGACTCTGGCTTCGATCTGGATTTGCTTTTCACCAAGCAACTAATCTATTCAGTCCGATAACATAGACTTTAATGTCGACTTTTTCTACAACATTCATGAGCCTCCATAATCTTGTGTTGTAACGCCGTAATATATTACTAATGGTCCAAGTTCAAATTTTTTTCTGAAACCAAGAAATGTAAGATTTGCCCTGTAACCGAGTTTAACTGTGGTTTTTTCCTCCTTTTAAATTTTAACATCAGTCATCGTATTTTGAATAAAGATTTTCTGGAAGGCATTTTGACCATCGTTAACACACTTCATGTTTCCAAAAATGTAAAATGCATTTTTGATTTAAGCCACCAATGTGTCAAATAAGCAAGATCAATGAACTGTGATAAACTGATATATAATACAACCTATTGCTATACGCCATGTTTTCCTGCGTACCTAGCTGTGTCCTGGAAGATAATATTCCATTCTTTCTTATCTGATCGAATATCTTGTGGCTAAGTTTGAAACATAAAATGTAATAGTTGCTCATCTGTGTTTCCATCACATATAAATGGAGAAATGGTAACTTTTCTTTTTGTTCTGCTGGGAAGGTTTCATTGACGCAAGGTATTTTTAAAAGTTACTGGTCAGTAATAATTCTTCTCTAAGTCTGAAAATAAAAAAAGGAACACTAAGGCTGTATTGTACATACTTAATTCGATTTTGTGATTCTTTATCATGTACCGACAACCTCAACTCATTAATTATTGGTTCACCTGTTGCTCGGTTTTGAAAATTTAGCACCCCCAGAGACGGTGTACCATTATGTGAAGATTTTCTCAGATCCATCATGAAGCGTCATGGATACACTTGTACATATGTAATAAATAATTGTATTTATTTAGTTAATATCTACCTCTAATGTTAATTAAAATTTATCAAGGACTGAATTTAACAAGATCTCTATACTATGAATGCTTTGTAGATAATGATTAGTTCAGTTATTAGAGTGTATTAAACGAAAGTTTGTTCATAATAAATTCATCCTAAACTCGTAATACTCAGTTGTTATGATTTAATTCCTTAACTAATGGCTCTATCACAAAGTCCGTCAAGTCTGGGGGCATGATTTCTTTGTAAAATCAGTGCCGGATTTGGCAGGTTGGCATCATTAGGGTTTCCAACGATCTGGAAAACGTTGAAAGTGAGGAATTTTTTGGATTCAAGACTGTGCAAACTAATCGCCAGTGCCTTACTCCATAATTTGAATCTATAGATTTAGAAATTTTGTCTAGAGTTTAGTGTGAGTCAACGTAGTTGATGGAAAAAAAGTTTTAAGAGGAAGTATAGTTTCATTATTGCATGAATAATTGATTTTTTCCAATCTGCTGGAAAGTATGACTCTCGTTACTGCATAAAAAGGCAAGCAAGCGCAGCGCGCATTTTATTAGTTAGATTCCTCTCAGAGTTTATCAAACACTTTGTCATGACCATGGTAAGCATTAAGAATGTTCAGAGCGACAAAATGAAAAATAATGAAAAGAAACAACTTTTCAAGATTTTTGATTGAGTACGTTTAAGGGAGAAAATGAGGAACTAAGGCTCAAAACGGGAACTTTCACGAAACTTAAGGGTTGAAATCCATTTAACTGTGAATTTTGATAGTGAAACGCATGAATTGCACAAATACACAGTTCCAGAAAGTTTTCTTTAGCCAGTAAACAGCTCATTTTTTTTTTGGATATTAAGTGGCAATTAAAACTTCGATCATAATCTAAAATTTCAGACATTGGAAATAGAAATTTCGTCTGGGGACGCTCATATGCCACAAGCTAGAAAATCGTGGAAAATAAGCACAGAGGATGATCTTGAATTGATGAGATACATTTAAGAGAAAAAACAAACATCCAGAAAGTTAACAAGCATAAATGAGGGGCTTCGAGGACTAGGCGCATGAGTGCAGTTTTTGAAAAAATTGAGTTATTAATGATTTCAAGTAAAACTAGTCTTAATGCAAATTCTGTGAAACATTCGCTCCGAATTTCAAATTTTTAAAAACTTTGAAAAGTCAGTTTGAACTTTCTTTCCCAATCCATGCAATTTCGAAAATTCAAACACATATTTCTCAAAATAGTAAAAACTACACTTGTGCACCTTGTCCTCCAAGCCCCTCAAATGTGGTAGGATTCATTCACCTTTGAAGAACTACCAAAAAATTCGAGGAAAGTTTCCAAGAATATATGTTCCATCTGGCAGTTAAAACCCATCAGAAACTCAGATCCGATCCAGATTATGAAGAGAATCTGCGTGGCAAAAATTAGACCCGTAACAATTATTCCTTACAATCTAGTTTTATTTTATAGTAAAAAAATTAACAAATCTCTTGAAAAAAGGGACAACTTATTTGAATTCACAATATGAAAAAGGATTATGTGCAGATTAGGAAGAAGTGGAGGCAGCTTTCGCTTCTTCAAGTTTGTAATGAACATCATTGCAGTCTTCGTCAGCAATGTGAGTCCAGCCTTCTTTTGTGATTTGATAAACTGTAAATAGAACACACAGAGATTAAAAAAATTGTTGCCTTAGAAAAGAAATAAGAGAAAACTAAAACAATTGAAAAGAGGAAAGTTACTTTCACTTCATTTAAGTAGACTCTGAAAAGGACAAAATAAAAGAGCTTTCGTTTTAACAGTCAGTTCTTTTTGATGGGATCTAACAAGGCGATTTTGTCCTGATGTAAAGGAATTTTTCTAGAAACACTGAAAAAAAGCGAAAAAGTTTTTCTAGGTGGCATAAAATGATGGCCTGTATAGATCCTGGTTGACAGTCCTCGAGTGATTAAAGGGTGACGTCATCAACATTGTCATGGTCTACTATCTCAGTATTGTTAACATGAGAATCAAAATCCAAGAATTCTGAATAATCCTCAACCTATCTGAAAATCAAATTATCATGAATTTCTGGCATAATCAAACTTTCATTAGCGTCTCACACAAATCCTAACTTGGGAAAACAATTTTGATTTGTTTCAATGGGCATTTCACTTCCCTAGCTATCAGCTAGAAACTCGATTGCTTGCTGAACGTCGATTGTTTTGCCTGAATCAGTTGCCTTTGTGTCAGGTTGAATTATTTTCTCATAAATTTTCTCCATGATGGAGTTTGAGTATATCATTTTCATCATGCATAGAGATCCCTTTCTGAGTTTGCTAAGATTGCAAATATATAGATTCTTCTAAAATTGTTAGTTACGTTTCTTTGGCTCTTCACTGCTAGTGTAATGACTAGCAAATTAGTTTTCAAAATCATCCTAAATTGCTAGAGCCCAATCCTCTGAAATTAGAGAAGAAAAGGAGGAAAAGAGCAACGCAACATACCTCTGATGATACCACCACTAGCAGCGTCACGATGTGTCGCGTGGTAGATAGCACGGCGGCCTAATTGGTAAGCCTCTTCGTCTGTTAGATCCCATCTGTATCCTGAGTCCAATACACCAAAAGCATATACTGATCCAGATCCTACAGAGAAAACTTTACCGGGAGTCCTTGTTCCATCGTCACTGATGTAATACAAACCTGGGCCCTGAAAAATATGCAAATTTGAGTTACTTAACTCTTTATCAGGACAACAAGATTGCTTCTTATTTTGAGCTACGTTGCTTGTGCCTTTTCTGAAAAGAATCAATTTTTGATGAGTCGACAATGAGACTTCCAAACCACGTATTTTGCTTTGCAATGTAGCAGACTTCCTGTCATACTTTATTTTTACATTGAAAAACCATTTGGCATTATTTCTTGAAAATTTCCTTGAATTTTCTCCTCTGCGCGAAAAAATATGTGAAAAGTTCAGGGAAAGAAGTTGATTTGTTCTTCTTAAAAAAAAAAAAAAAAAAAAAAAAAAAAAAAATTGAGAGCAGAGATTTTTAAACTCCGCAAACAAGATACATGGTTTGGGAGTTTCACCGTCGAAGTGCCTATTCAGAAAAGGTCCGTTGTAGTTGAGGCCATGAATCTAAGTCTGAGTCCTTATTCATGGGGTCTCAGTACATTGTCATCAATTTTGAGAAGTGATTTGAGCTGTTTGAAAAAATGTAAACATGTGATGTGGTAAATGTAGACATTCCCTATTTGTACTTGGCTTTACTTCATGGTTGATGCCTAGGAAAGTTATAAGAGAAAGATAGACTCAACAACTGGTTCTTGGATTTCGTTTAAGGGTTGAAACACAGGTAAATTGACCTGTACAAACAACACAAACTTACCAGCACGCGGATCATTGAAATTATGTCAGCATGACAAGACAAGACATAGCCCTACCTTTACCACGCAATATATACATAGCATTTTGATGTTTTATCGGGATGCATTTAAACTTTCAATAATTGGCCTGCAGGGAAACTAGTTTAAGTGGCTTAAGCCACTCATCTAACTTTGCCTATCACTCACTTCCAGTGGCGATTGCGGAAAGTTGGTAACAATGTTAATTCTTCATTTAAATTCATTGAATATATTAATTCTAGGTGAGGCAGCCTACCTCACCTAGAATTGAGTATTTAGCATAAGTTTAAACAGAGAATAAACAATGTTGCCAACTTGCAAAGAGGCTGTTGGAGTGGGCCACTGCCCACCACTTTTCATGGAGTGCTCTCTAGAGCCTATGGAAAAATAGTCTTACCCGCTTATCCCAACCGGCAAGCATCATTCCCATTGAGAGTCCCATTCCTTTGTAGTTGTAAAACATGTTGGCCAATAGTTTTGAGGCTGCAGCTACAGAGATGCGTTCTCGGTTCCGTAATTCATACATGCGACACTGTTTTGTCAGAACTCGGTCCCAGTAAACACAGTCGGCAGCACCACCGGCAAGTGTTCCCAATAGGAAATCATTGATTTCAATTATTTTTTTCATGTTCTGTGAACCTGCGGGAAAAAAATACATGGATAGAAGGCATAAACAGTGGTAAAAAGTTACTCATCTAATCTCATCAGTCAGTACATTCCAATATTAATTAGATATACTGCTAGACATATGCTATTTATTTTGAACTCTTGAAGAGAAAGGAATCTCATCTTTGGGTATGAAGGCAATTTTCAAGAGGTTGCTCAAACTAGATATGATGAAGGAACAACTTTCCAAGCAAATCCATCAGTATGGTTCCTGTTTTTTCTACCTACTATCTATTCATGCAATGGAAAATAATAAAAGTAATGTTTCCAAAATATTTCTTTGGACTTGCGGTCAAAAGAAATTTTTAATAAAAAGGATGCTATGGTCTACTTTCTCACATTTCCCTATTTTTCATTGTTTAAAGAGGGTTATTCATATAGGCGAAAAATGTACCCAGCCCGGAATGTACGAAACTTTGTAGGCTGATAGTACTAGTTGAGAGAGGCTTATCCCTAGCTCCGTTTTTGCAGGAACCCCAGGGAAACAGCGTTGCCATTTTTTAAAGTCGTAACCTTCAAACATCCATAACTTTCGCAAAAATGCAGTTACAGAGCTCGTATTTACACCAAAAAACGCAAAAAATTATGTTCTATCGACCTATGCAAAAGAAATTTTAATTTGACTCCACTGTTGCCACGTTTCGGTCATTTTTTTAATTTTCGTTATTATTTAAAATCACGTTACCGCCTAAAAAAGTGTTTGCGGTTGGTGAGGATTGAATAAAAACCTGTCGGAATTATTGTTCGTTCGATTCCGCATCCATTGATATATTATACTTTTCTGAGAGACTTAGGGAACACGAGTTATAGCGATTTGAAAATTCGTCAACACGCCCGACGCCCGATATTGACGCTCGTTTCGGTACGTTTCGCGACTCCGTGTTAAAGCAAAACGCCTAGACCAAGCAAAATTCGAAAAGTCAGCCCATGATTTGCACTTTTTTGAAACTTTTACACGATTTTTAAGAATTCAAGTAGCGGCGGTGTTGCCGGTTTTCAATGAAAACCACCGCTGCGATCACAATTTAAAGTAGTACTCATTTAATCACGTTCAGCTAACCTAAACTGACCATTTGCGACATGGTGTTCACAACATTGCCTAATTTCCGTCGGAATTCGCGTAGAGGCGGGGTTGCCAGTTTTCATGGAAACCGCCACCGCAATCACAAAAAAAATGTATTACTTATTTAATCACGTTCAGCGTTATTCTGTAGTTGGAATTGTTTATTTATCGAATCGATGGTTTCTGCAATCTCTCTGCAACGGCGGTGGTGCCCGACAGTAACGAGATATCGATATTGTATAGAGATCAAGAGCAATGGATCTAGGTCCCCTGCCAAAACTACTTATCGGACCGATTGAGTGATTTGTGGGCTTAAATTTCGATATCTCGTTACTGTCGGGCACCACCACCGTTGCAGAGAGATTGCAGAAACCATCGATTCGATAAATAAACAATTCCAACTACAGAATAACGCTGAACGTGATTAAATAAGTAATACATTTTTTTTGTGATTGCGGTGGCGGTTTCCATGAAAACTGGCAACCCCGCCTCTACGCGAATTCCGACGGAAATTAGGCAATGTTGTGAACACCATGTCGCAAATGGTCAGTTTAGGTTAGCTGAACGTGATTAAATGAGTACTACTTTAAATTGTGATCGCAGCGGTGGTTTTCATTGAAAACCGGCAACACCGCCGCTACTTGAATTCTTAAAAATCGTGTAAAAGTTTCAAAAAAGTGCAAATCATGGGCTGACTTTTCGAATTTTGCTTGGTCTAGGCGTTTTGCTTTAACACGGAGTCGCGAAACGTACCGAAACGAGCGTCAATATCGGGCGTCGGGCGTGTTGACGAATTTTCAAATCGCTATAACTCGTGTTCCCTAAGTCTCTCAGAAAAGTATAATATATCAATGGATGCGGAATCGAACGAACAATAATTCCGACAGGTTTTTATTCAATCCTCACCAACCGCAAACACTTTTTTAGGCGGTAACGTGATTTTAAATAATAACGAAAATTAAAAAAATGACCGAAACGTGGCAACAGTGGAGTCAAATTAAAATTTCTTTTGCATAGGTCGATAGAACATAATTTTTTGCGTTTTTTGGTGTAAATACGAGCTCTGTAACTGCATTTTTGCGAAAGTTATGGATGTTTGAAGGTTACGACTTTAAAAAATGGCAACGCTGTTTCCCTGGGGTTCCTGCAAAAACGGAGCTAGGGATAAGCCTCTCTCAACTAGTACTATCAGCCTACAAAGTTTCGTACATTCCGGGCTGGGTACATTTTTCGCCTATATGAATAACCCTCTTTAACGCTGAAATACGCTATCTCATTAATGCTTACTTACTGATGTCTTCTAAAGGACTCAATCAGATGACTTCGGAAACCTACTTGCCTCAACACTCTTGATTAAGATACAGTATTAAAATATAAAATTCGTACCAATAAAACTGCCACCAGTGGCTCGAGAGTCTACAGCTAGGAGCACACCACCCTGGTATCGGAAGGCTAACGTCGTAGTTCCATGATCAAATTTAAATTGAATTGGCTTGCCACTTTCATCCTTGTTAAAGCGAGCTAAATTTCTTGCAGGCTACAAAAAACAGGTTTTAATCATTATTGAGATATTATTAAAAATTGTGTTACCTATCGTTAAACTATGGTCAAAGACAGAGTGAAGAAGGAACACATGAGACCCTACAAAAATAGAAAGAGGAAAAGAGACACAGATTAGTGGGCTAACTTAGAAAAACAGCCACAGAAAAATATACACACAAAACGTGGAAACTCAGCGTCAATAGACTGTGGGACTTCTCTTGTAAGGCTGCAAAGAATGAACTGATTTAAGATCTGAGAATGCAAATGAAAGGGACAGAGAACCCTATGCCATTGCCAAATCAAGAGAATGAATTGATTTCTTTCTTTGGATCCTCAATTTTTATGATCAAGAGATAAGATTTGATTTTCCTATTTTAGTCAAAACAAGCAAGTCTAACCTTGTTGCTCAACGGGTGAAAGAGGCACCCACCGAAGGCTGTCTCCATAAAATGGCAAGGAAAGCCAGTGCATCAATTAGATGTGTGACTAGGATCAGTAAGTATAAAGTAGGCAACAACACACTGTCGAAGCACCTCAAAATACGTTAACAAACACCAAATTTATACAAATCAAATGTCGACATGTTCTGTAATTTGATCAGACAGCTGACAGAATCGCAGGGACTGATATTCTTCCAGAGGATCTTTGGGCCCAGAAAGAAAGAGGCAAAGGAACCTTCACTCATGTTAAAGGAAGGCATATGAACCCTATGTCACCCATCTTCCTCCATGGACCTGATAATGACTCGTCAGAATCGCAACTTGGCCAACCCTGATAATGATTGTTGTTTTGGTGTTCGAATGACACCCATTGAAGCCATAAGTATTCGAGCATGTTTTATATCATGATCAGTCTGAAATAATTAGCTTTGATACATTTTATCAATGGCAAAATTGATTCTGATACTCACATCAGCAAAAGGAGGTAGAGCTAGTTGAAAGCCGTTGGTGAAATTAGCGGTTTGCTCGCACACATCTTCGACGGTTTCATTCTTGAATGGGCGGAACTGAAAATTTGGACCGATTTTACAAACATCGGCGAGAGCCATAACTACCTAATATTAAAATAAATAAAAATTTGACTGAGAAAAAGGAGGCTTCACGGCGAAATGAATGAGTACAACAGTTTTGAGGTTAGCAGATTATTTGACAAGAGGGAAAAAGTAGGGAAAAAGGGACCAATGAGATGAGTTACGAAAAGCTAAAAATCTCAGCTCATTTTCCTTATCAGTTTACTGATTACACAGACGCAATAATTTTCCAAGAAATACAGTAGAATAGCTAAACAGTTTCATAATAAAATTAATTACTGAACATAATATTCATTATAAATGATTTACATAATTGTAAAGAATACTGTTGGACATTCCAAAAGCTCTTTTTGAGTTGTTATATTGGTTATTTGCAATGTTGTTTTGGATTTGGTTCCGAGCAAAAACAATCAGCTGAATGGCGTTCCGCGTTCTGATAAACGCACTAGCTAATTAATTTCTACTTATTTTCGCGGAGTGTCCCCATTTTAATCTGTTTTCCGTTCATTCTTTATTGAAGAGTGTGCTCCGAGATTAAACACTCAATATCACCTCACTGAGCACTGAGTTCTGTCTCTCAAAGTTCGTCTCGTGTGCTCTGTGTTATTTATTTACTGACCAAGATGGCTGAGAAGTAAGTGTTGTTCTTTGTGTTCCCATGTCTTTTTCAAATTCTTTATAACTTATCCTTTTCGTTTAAAATTCTTCCAGCTTTTCAGATCACTTGATAACGCATATCAAGTTTTTCCTTTAATCTTTATCATCTATGGCAGGATTCCCACCTTGTTACATCACATCACATAGATGTCCATAATTCGCTACACATCAGATATTTTCAGCAGTCTATTTGCCGAGTACCTATCAGGGGATCGGAAGCTACGAAAGTGTTTGAACAAGTGTACGGCTTTGATAAGATGCTGTGCATCTGGTTAGGAGGGATTTTTTTCATTAGTCTAGTATGGACATCGTTTGTTTGCCTGATATTTGGGTAGTTTTAATATGTACTGGGTTCTATGAAATTAAAAGTTGACTTTAGACCCAATTATCATCATAAACAAGTAAGAGACTGGTCAATTTCTTTTAAAGAAACGAAGATCTACTCATATACAGAGCAGGGATGCTAAGAAATCTTTTGAGCATAAATTAGGTCCAGACTCAGCCTCTAATGTCCTCACCTCATAGAAAGGTCTCATGTTCACGTAAAGCCTCAAAACTCCTAAAAAAAGCAGACAAAAAGTAACAGGATTAGAAGGGAAGTTCTGATTTTAGTTTCACAGGAAGTGCATGAATATAATCGTTGAACTAAAACTTTAAATCTCAATTTCAGACTTTTCTGTGTATTATGCTTACATTTTACTTAAAAAGATACACAACTTTTTAATTTCTTCTTTTATACATCTTTCTTTGAAGGGAAAGGTTTAATCATTCTATTTAAGTAAGTTATTTCCTCAAGGAAATTTGTCCATGTTGCAGATAGGCCGTAAAAGTGCTAGTTTTCTTCAAAATAATAAAATTATTCCTAGAAATTATGTTCATTTGTGACCCTCCATAGGTGAAGGTACACCCAAGATAAATGAGGAATTATTGTGAAACGGACCTGAGGACCTAAATTCTGCCAGGCTTATTCAATGCATTTACTGTTTTCTTTTTTAATTAATGTGTCCAATGTACTTAAAAACTCTTCAGGACTAAACTGGCAACCTCATTATCTCGGTAGTCAAGATATTACCTCAAAATGTCAATTTTTTTTAACTCAGATGCTAGTGACTTGCTGCTATAGTGTGATGGCTATTGTGTTTTGCCAATCCTTCTATATCATGTGAAAGATTAATTTGTTTTTTCTTTTTCTATTCAGAGCGGAAGAAGCCAATGGAACGGAAGATAAAAATCCAAGTGATGAACCACTGGCAGAAGGCAGCAAAAGCAACAGCAACGGAAGTAATTGGTGGGGCTCCTGGTACAGCGCTGCCAAGAACAAGGTATTTTCTCAACCTCTGCAAGCTCAGTAATTAAGAAATTGGATTTTGCCAATGCACTCAAATCTTGTAATTCTAATTTCCTCATCCAATTTCAGTATGGTTTATCTTTTATTTATTTTTTAAGCTTATCAATTTTTTCAGGATTGCCACAGTCAGGGACTTCTGAGAAATGTCAGGGAAAATGACAAAAGTGTTAGGGGACAATTGTAAAGTCACCTTCATTTGCTTTGTAGAATGACTCTGATGGTTTATACAACAAATTTTTTTAAAGCTATTTCCAATTATGCCCTTTTAACCATCTGGCATATTTTCAGTTGTCACGGAAATTTACCAAATTGGTTCAGGGAACTGTCAGGGAATTTCATTCTCCAAATTCTGCGGCAATCCTGTTTCTGTGGTTGTCATAGGTTGTATGATCTATCTCTGTCATTTCGGATACCAACAAACTCTCATTCTCATTGTCTTACTGAAAGCGGCATTTAAGTATTCGTTCTTAAATTCTACCAACTACTTGTGATTTTCTATAAATCTTTGAAATGCTTTTTATGAGTGGCGGTAGCCATATCCGGGCAAGTCGCCTATCCTCCAACAATTGACATGTATGAATATATGAACTTCTTGGGCAGAAATTATGCATCACCATTCAAAAATAAGGAGCTGTTGAAGTTTTTCTCATTTCAGTAATTCTAATTCAGTATATATAATTTCAACAAAATAATATGATTTCACCTACCTGCAGATTGAGAATTCTAATGAACGGTTGTTTCTCAGACATATTTTTTTTTTTTGAATTTTACTTCTGGTCTTTTCCTTTTTTTCTACTTTTTAAAAAGAGCTCCCAATTTCTGTTTCAGTCTGTGGAAGTCCTGGATTTTGTGAAAAAAGATTTTGACGAATTTTCAACTGCAGTGAAGTCTGAAGCCAGCAGTGTTGTCAAATCAACGTCCACCATCTTTAAAGAAACCCTTCAGGTAGAACTCTCTATCCTGTCATCCTTTTCTATTTTTAGCCTCATGAAATTTTATTTGGCTTTTTCCAAAATCGTCAATTTGTAATACATATCTGACTGTGTGAAAAAAAGTTTTTAACAGTAATTCTTGTTGATTTATTTATCATTTGTGACTGACTCATTGAAAAAAGATTTTTCCCTCAACATAAGTAAAAATATCTGTAGAAGCCAAGCAAATGACCCAGTAATGTTTAAAATCACTGAATTCCAGTATCGGCAAGTCACATTGGTGTTTCGGTTTGTTACCAACCAAGAGAATGTACCCAAAGGGCCAGATGCTTTACGGCTAAATGAAGCTAAGAGACCTCCTTTTGCTGATGCCTTTTCGATCATTCAATCATGAAATTATTAATTTTTTCAGTTGGACAAACCAGAATCAACTGCAAGCAACGTAAAGAGGTCTGTATCAACTTTCTTGGATCAAGTCGGTTCTGCCCTGAATCCAGTTGCAGATGATAGTGATGAGGAAGCCATCTTAATTAAAAGTAACGAACCAGTTGCCATTTCCCGATTGCAGGTAATTGAATATGCTTATTTCCACTGATTCATCTTGTAAATGAACATCTAATCCCAAACCATGGACTTTTTTATTTTGGCTGTGTTTTTTTAGGAATTGAATGTTAGACTTGAAATTAAACCGATTTGACCAGAATTAATTTGAATACTTTTGGTATTGTCTAATATCCTCTCTTTTTTTATTAATTTAAACAAGCATCTAAAAAATATTCTGACTAGAAATTTCATGAGTATTCTTCATGATCTTTAAGAAAGTCACAGTAAGTTTCAAAGTATAATTTTTTTTAGTTTTCTGTTAAATAAGTAAAAGATCAGAGAAAACTGGGCAATGTGTAGTTTCGCGGATTTGGGTCAGTGGCATCCAATTAAATGTCAATTTTTGTAGGCTCATTGTTTCAATATTGTTTTTCTCATATTGTATCTATAAGTAAGAAATGTTGACTCAATTATTTTTTAATATCTGATCATTATCTATTTGCAGGCTCAAATATTAGAAATAGCATCAAATCCCAAAACATTCTTAACGGAGATTGAAGAATGTTACTCAAAACAATTTGAAGCTTGGCTTGAGGTGACAGAGAATGAAGACAGCAGCCCACTTTCAGCTGAAAAATTGACGAAACTTTTGCATGCCAATCCCAAACTTCAAGAGAACTATGAAGCTTTAGTTCCATCTCAGGTAAAATTCAAGCTGTTTTCTTGGAATTCCTTAATAATTTACTAGTAACTCGAACTCATTATTAGAGCTTTGCCAAACACTCGACTCTCTACCACTCAACCTACAGCTTATTTGACCTTTTTACATTTTAATCTTCAATAAAGTTGATAAACAAACCTTTTAATCTGTGCAATATTTAGACTTACAGTTGACCTACACTTGACTTTTTTGCAAAAATGAAGAAAGGAAAAAACAAAAAATAAAACGAGGAAATGAGAAAAAAAAAGTTCAAAGGATTGACAAAGATTGATCAATACTAGTCAAAGTTGCTTTCGCAATCACGGACATATTTAAAGGTCTTAGGTTTTGGTAGTATATCAGTCACAACTATCATTTCTCAAACCTAATGTCTCAAACTGGCTTCCACTTAGTTTCCTACAGATACACGCTAATTTTTTCTTTTTCCTCAACTACTCATTTCTGGCATTGATGATAGCTGTTTTCTCCCTATGCAGGTTTCTCATGCTGTGTTTTGGCAACGATTTCTGTTTCGCAAAGCGCTCCTGGAAGACGAGGAGGCCAATCTACAAAGAAAAATACTGAGAGAAAAGCAGTTGCTTGAAAATTATCAGAAAGAGAAAGGTAATACATGTTTGAAATTATTCTCCTGCTTTGTACTATAAGTATGGCTGTGAATTCAACTCACAATGTTTTGCTCCCTAATAGATTGTGTTCTTTGATTGCTGTAAGTGTGATTTATCGATGGTTTATTTTTTAGTTTCACATAAAGGTGTACATGCTATGTTCCATTTGAAAGAACAAATGAAAGAAACATAATCTTGCCTTGCAATTTTCACTACATTTTTTCTAACTTCCAACCAGTTTTCAGAGATGATGGGGATGGTTTTAGTTTTTGCTCATTTGCAAGTTTGATTTTAAAATTGTATCATCCTTATTACAAGACGCTTTGCATAAAACTGATTTCTTCTCTCAGCTGTTTCATGAACACAGTACATCAGCCCCTCCTAATTTTTTAAAATTTTTCTTTTTTGTTTTTTGGACAAAAAAATTACTGAAAGGAAATCAGTGATCACAAAAAAGTTCAGTGTCTACTAAATTTCATTAATTTTGTTTTAAATGTTCTTCATAACCTCATAGGCCTAGTAAGCTGTAAAAGTTGAACTCTTTACGTGCTAATTTTAAGAGAAAGAAGCTGAGGAGTAAATTTTAAAGCATTTTCAAATAAGTTTTTGCAGGGAGAGAATGCATTGCTGCTGCCGTTTAAAATTTTCAAACAAACCCTTATTTGTAAGTTAACAAGATAATGGATGGCATGTTGTTATCTTTGGGAAGGATCTTCATTTTTTTGGCCACAAGAAGCAATACTGTGAGGGTTTGTGTTTGTTATATCTCCTTTTGGTGAGGAAGGGAAACTCTCCTTGCTCAACAAACTGGTGTTGCAACTATTTCATCAGAAAATGCAGTCTTAAATGCCATAAAATTATTGTTTCACTCTTTTTTTTTCGGAATTGGCACATAGAAAGTTAAATTTTAAAAGCTTATTTTGCTTTAGAGGGCGTCAAGAAACGCAGCATAAAAAATAAAATTTAGCTGACATCGCATCCCTTTGTAATTTTTACAATTTCCTTTTTAAGAAATTATAATATATCAATATAAAATTAAAGTATAACCAAAAAGATACAACATCTAAAATCGAGATACGAGGTTTCTGAGTTTAGCCATTGAAACATAACCTACCATTGCGGTCAAAAAGTTGCTGCATCAATTCAATGAACAAAGTTTTAATAATGCATTAAATTTATTTTCGTTTCAAACTTTAAGATTTTTCTTTGCCATTAATACAACTGCCGCAAACAATTCGAAGAAGGGAACATGTCTTGTAGTCCTTTGATTTTTACCATGTCTAGTGGTTCAATTGTATTGTATGTCTGATTGATAAGTTTGCCTTAACATGTGAAAAGACGACCAGCTGAGCGAAAGCATTTAGCATGCATGCACCAAGTCTTGTCATGCACCTAATTGTACAGTTTTTGTTTTACTTTACCTTTGCTTTTGGCGTTGTCCACCAGGCAGTGCTACTTCTCTTTGTTTTGAGGTAATCTTTTTGTAGAGCTTGTAAAGGCTGTGTTTAGTGTAGTAATTTTTTGACTGCAACTTAAATGGTGCCACAGTTGTAGACTAAGTTGCTCTCAACGCTTTTCACTGCCTGGAGTTGTCAATTTTAAGCACAGCCCAACCAAAAAGGTCTCGTCTAGAATGCTGACTTCAGGCATCATGAATTTAATGAACGCTCTCTTGACGAAGCTGTCATTACCTATTGTCCAATAGGTATTAATGGCTAACAGAGCTTGATTTGGACATTTAAGCTAGGAGAGCGCGCTTTTCTAAAGGCTCACCTCTTGGCCAGGCTATTCTGTGTGCTACATGAAACTTTAAGGCTCCTAATTCATTGGGATCAACCACGACTAGGATTTTACAAATTACCACAAGAAGATAATTTTTCTCAATGCAACTGAGATGAATTTCAAATTCTCTTTATTTTTCCTATCTTTCTAGAGAAAGGTATTGGTGCCCATCTTGAGTTGACGGAAGATCAACAGATTAAAATCCTAAATGAGTATGATGAGGAAAGGAGAAACTCTTTAGGAACCGGTCAGTCCTGTCTTTTTACATTTTTTGCTTTTTTTACTGGCCCTTCTTTCAACTATCTTCTCTTCCATGTGGTCTAAATTTATTTATTTTACAGTCTTGGCTGTATTATATTTGCAATCTTGCCTTTGCTAGAGTTAGAAATTTGTGGAAAGGGTCATTTTGAGACAAGGAGTACAAAATGGAGCTATTTTTATGTATGTTTCAGGTTGAAACCAGATGGTACTTTTGTACATATCGACTAGATTTGATGTCTGTAATCTTTCAGTCTACTTAGCACAGCATATTAAACCCTCCTTCAAAATTTTATCAATTAATAATCACCCCTTACATGGAAACTATTTTAACCTTTGAGGCTGTTTCATATTCAATTCACCACAATTCCTCATTATATAATTAGACTCAATACAGATTCTAGACAATCAGTCGGCCACTAGACAAGATTCAAACTAGAAAAAAAGTCGCACCTTTTCACCACAAAATCTCACGCAGAAAACGATTCAAACAACAGGAAATTCGGAAAGCAACTCCTGAACGAGTTATTAACAAGTACTTTTAACACAGATCTAATGAAAGTTGTATCATACAAATGACGTCACTTGCATTTTTGTCTTTCAACAAGAGTTAATTAATTATTTGCGCCAATCACAAAATCGTGTTTCAATGATTTTAGTACCTAGATCAGTCTGGGAACTGAAATGCAATGATGGACCCGTAGACAAGGTACAAATTTAAGCATTCCGATTAATGTTTTTTTCTTCAAAATCATGTAGAAAACGATTTTTGCAACAAAAATTACTGGCACTAACTGCTAACCAAGATATGAATGTTTTTATGAAGCACTGGCCATGAAAAATTCAAATTTCCCGCTCACAAGAAAAACCAGAGTCCAAGTGAATGAAACTGCGCTCTACAATGGTTTCAGTAGGCTTCTTGATTGGGCAATGTTCCCATTCTATCCTATGTTGTTCAAAATGTAAACAACGTGCAACAGCAGAGCTGATATGTCGCAATTAAAGTTGTTATATTTTCATACTGCAGAGACTGTTACAGTAACGTCTAATGTGCGATTTATCATGATCAGATAAATTTTTTTATTAGCGGATAGTTTGAATTAATGCATCATAAAACATTAATATCTTGGTAAGGAGTGACTGTCAATAACTTTTGTTGCATAAGTCGTGTTCTTTGTAAAACTTCGATGAAAAAATTTAAATCATATTGCTTGTATTTGCTCCTTGTCTTGTGGCCTATCGCTGAAAAAATAGTACGCATCAATGAGGTAATGTCATGCTAGCATATTAATAAAATTCTTCTCAATCCAGCATCATTTTAGGAGAGTTTACCCTAAACTTAAATATCAAATAATAATGCTCACTCCTCATCTCTTTCTTTCTGTATTCCAGAGCTTGCTCGATCACAGTCAAAATCCCCTGATGGAGGTATTCCTGTTCGTGAAAAAAAAGATATGGTCATAGTTGGAGATAGTTCCACCACATCATCAACTCTTTCAAGCGGTGATAAAGGTAAGAATTTTTCTGAAAATGTAACCGAGTTGAAAAAATTGACTCCAGTCCACTGAAAAAAAATTTGTCGTCTTCAGCGCAAAAGAACATACCTCAATTGCGCTGTTTTAGTGTTCATTATTGACATTTTATTTTTTTATAGGAGAACCATCTCATAATATTGCCCTAATTCCCAGTAATTTTTTTTGCTGTGAGAAAAGGCACCAAAATTTTTAGACAAATTTGTGAAGTGGTTCTTCCATGAAAAAATTAATTGTGCGTGGAAATACTGGAACAGCCCAGACAAAATATGTTCCTTTGCGCGGGGGAAAATACATTGTGTGAATTTCAAAAAGCTGTTTCTTGAAACTGAACAGGTTACCTCAAACTGCCACAATTTTGATCATGGTTGACTTCTTTTGACCCTTTTTGAGCCGCAATGTTTGTAGAACATGACAATGAAGTATGTGAAGTATGTCAGCAAGTTGCGTAATTTTTTTTATATTTAGTTCACTCCCTTGGAGAAACAATCGATCAAGCTGAAGTTACTGCTCTATTTTTTGCCCCCTTTCTTTCTTTCTCTCTTTCTCTCTTTCTTCAGTTGCATGAAAAAATAAGTTTACAGGAGTCATTAAAATTTAGGAGGACCATAACCGATTGCCTTGCTGTGTGTTCTAAGTTTCCCAGAAGAATTGAGTGGCATGAACCGGAATTCATAAGAACTTCCTGTGGGAACCCTAGTGGTCTTTTTTCAAATTTTTAATGAGCACTGAGGGTTTGTAATCATTTTGAGATATTATTTGCTTGATCAAAATAATCAGCAAAATCGAGATGAATTTTTAGATTGATTGTCGATTATTGATTTTTCAGTGTCAATTGAATATCTCATTTAATTTTTTTTGAAAATCATCGAAATTACATTTATGCTCATGATGTAATCTAAAGAATTTTTCATCCTTTGAGCCTAAATTTATTTTAGGGAAAACTATGCGTTTTGCAGTCAATCATTAAATCACATCGATTTTTGGGAAAAAATTTAAATCGTTTCTTTCAACTCAATTTTATCTCAAATATTACCATCCTAACTTGGTGATAAAATGTTGAAATTCTATCTTGTTTCCTAACTTATACATACTTCCACATTTTAATTTTAATTATGTGCCCCTCCTTTTTTTTAGAAAGCACAGAAGATGACTGGGAAAAAGATTTCGAAGTTGATGATGCTGAAATCAAATCATGAACAATGCGCGAATAGCAGTTGACACGTAATCGAAGCTATATCTGAAATCTCTGTCCATAGTTTGTGTATCCGTTCGGAAGACGATTTGTTTGCTTGTGTTAATCATACTGTAGTTCCTCATTGTTGCCTAAGTACCTTTAGTGTATTTGCTCTTTGAGACATTTTCAGCAGAAGGCAGTTGCTAGGGTCATAATTTTTATAGTCTCTGTTCAATGCATCTGATTTTAGGTGGGGCATCAAATAATTTGTTCCTTCCCCTCCGCCTGAAGAATGTTTGATTTCGATGAGCTGTTGTAAGCTCTGGTGTTTCCAGGAATCTGCATCTTCTGTTTTTGATCTTGCCAATGTGAAGCACAGTACAAACTTTCGAAGATCAGTGAGGCTTTTTTTATCATTATTAATGATTCGCGATCAATAGTGCTGTTTCCTCAAAAACTTCGGTTTTTTTTTTCTACGCGTATCAATGATAAAATCCATAGTTTCAGGTCAAGCTGAAACTATGGTATGAATAGAACGACTCTGTTTTACCACGAAACCTATATCTGTTCTAGCAATAAGTCAATGGATAAAACCACCATCTAACAATCGTATTGACGGTGAAACTGCAAAAATACTTATCTTCGTTATCGTTTTTCAAAATCTCCGCTCCAGTTTTATTTTTTAAAGGAGACCTAACGAATATCATGGCTTGAATTTTTCACAAAATATTCCTCATGTAGGGAGGAAAAATCTTCCAAGTTTTCAAGATATGATGTTTAATAGTTTTCCATCTGAAAAATAATGTATGATAGGAAGTCTGCAACGCTGCAAACTGAATTACGCATTTCTGCAGCTTCACCATTGATATATCGAACAACAGCATCAATGTAAATTGGAAGAGAATCTATTGATGTCATGTTGTAATGCTTCCCTCTCCTCACAATTATTATAACTTGAGCAATTAAGCTGAGTATTCATTACTTTCTAATTTCAACCAAAGTAATTTCGTATCAAGAAGCTGCTGACATATACTTGGAGTTTGGGACAGTTCATCAATTTACTGATGCATCGTAAATTAATTTTAATAGCTTGTCGGTCAGTTATTTGTTTTATCGAAAAACTTTCATGGTTTGGTTCTACCCAGTTCTAGTGAGCAGAGTATTTCATATTTTTACTGCTGATTTTTTTTTTTTTTTTTTAAAGGGCTTAACTGCCTCTCATGAGTTCTGAGTTTCCATTTTTAGTTTTACTCGCGAGAGTTCATGGTTTTCGTCTTCTCATTTCGGAAGTTAGTCAATAACGTAAGAGATTTGGCATTTTGCTTTTAATTTTGTTTGTTTGTTGTTTTTATATGTTTTCAAAAGTAGAGTTTGATAAATCTCGCTGTATAAATTATTTTATTATCAGAATCATTTTCCTTCTGAGGGTGAAAATGCCACTTCTTAGAGAAGCCACCACAAAAGCCCTCTATCTCTTTGAAATTAGAAACAGAGTTTTAAGCGTAAAACTTGTTTGAGTTTCAATGCACCGTTTGTGGTCAAATCGGTAGTATAAATTTGCCATCATGTTAAGAGTAAGAGCATATGAATGGATCGCCGCAAGGCACAGAAGCTTTTTACGTCAGTGATACTTAAGGACTACTGGAAAATTGTATAGTAGTCCAAAAAATAACTCCTGTATTACCAATGACTTTTCTATAAACACAGCGGATGACTCAACTAAGTATTAAAGAACAAAGTGGAGGAATAATGGTGCTAATTGGATTGAAAAAGGAATCATTTGACCTCAAATAATGTCTAATTTTAAATGTCATTGAAAACTGATTCTGAATCAAAATTCAAATTGATTTACAATTTGTATTTACTTACTTCAAAACTACTTCATGTGCAAAGTGCTTACCTTTTTCAGTTTACTTTTTGTCTTATTTTTTTTAAATGTATTTTTTCATACCAAAAATTTTTGTTGTTTGAAACAGAAATGGCGAACACTCATTGTCTTTAAATTGAAGGTTGGCTACAAAGTGAGAATAGATATACAACTTTATACTTTTTTTCTTACAGAGAAAAACATCTATAAGGGATCACCAGTGAGCACTAGTGAGCATCTTTAAGTGATTTTATTTTGAGGGACAAAACTCCTCTGAAGGTTCTGACTGGTTCTGTCTATGGATCATCAACATTAGATTTTAATTGGATGAATCAATAATGAATTACCATCCTTGGCTCATCCAAAAAAAAAAAAACACCCATTTTCATGGAGGAACTATCAGCATTTATGTATTTCATTTAATGAGCTAGAAATGGATAGTTGTTCCTTGTCGTGTAGTGGAGTCTGTTTTGCCATTGATGAATCCCTTAAACTATAAAAAAGTGCTAAAAGTTAATTTTTACAACCAATTGCTATACCATTGCCATGCTGTACAGTCTTGGTTGTCAACTGTAAAAATTCATCCATAATATTTGGATTTCATTTTTTAATAAGGAACTACCATTTCTGGCCCACCCGTAAAATTACTTACCTGCATCGGAAAACTAATGGAACAGAAGTTGTTTCTAAAATGAGCTAGAAATGGTAGTTCTTTATCGCGAAGTGTTGTCTGTTCATTAATTGTATCCCTTTTTCGAGACTATATGAAGTTTTCATTTTTATCTTCATAATTTAAGAATGGTCATGTAATTCCTATGACCTCTTCCACTCCAATATTAAACTCTAACCATATTCACAAGAAATGTTTCAAATAATCTGCTTCTTACATCTCAAAAATGTTTACAAGCCTTTGTATCTACTCTGGTTTTAACAGAACAAAACAGGAGGAGGCTAAAGAACTGTTGCTGATGAAGTGGCGCTATAATATTTTCATAGAAAAAACGGAATTTTTTACCTTCAGTGAGCAGCATTGTCTGTCCTTGTACAGAAAGAGTCATTGAATGGGCCTGTTGCAAACTTTTGCTAGAGCAGAATGAAGAGTTGTTTCCTATAGATAATGCCTCAAAAATCACGATGAGCGCATCGGCAAAGTCTGAAATGCACCCATAAATTCACAATCTGCGTGAAAAATTTGCGTTATTTTGAGCTTCCCGCTTCAAAAACGATACTACTGCACAGGTGAACATTTTGTTAGAGGAGTCGCTCCATCGTCGGCAATATTCATCATGGCCGACGCTTGCGCAGTTCCTCGCGTAATTCGAGGAGAGCTCAAGGTCAATTTAGGCGGGCGAGGAAAATATGAACGTAAACGCCGATTGTTATCTGGTTTAATCCTGTTCAGGTGTTATCTCGTCCCATCACACGTGTTTTGGCGGACTGGCGTCGGCCATGATGAGTATTGCCGCCAATGGAACGACTCCTCTAACAAAATGTTCACCTGTACTGTAGTATCGTTTTCGAAGCGGGAAGCTCAAAAAACCGCAAATTTCTTACACAGATTGTGAAGTTATGAGTGCATTTCAGACTTTGCCGATGCGCTCATCGTGATTTTTGAGGCATTTTCTGTAAGAAACAACTCTTAGTTTTGCTCTAGCAAAAGTTTGCAACAGGCCCATTGCTCCAAATTAATTTCCAAAGTATGTTGCAGTTTTTCAATTCATTTATTTTACCTACACTCAAACAAAGTAAGGAAAACATTTGGTGCTGTAAAAAATGAAGGCAAAGAATTTCTTTTTCATTTTATATCAACAGGGAAACCATATCCTATGGTTCCACTCGCATTTATATTTTTTAAACTGTTACCCTAAAAGAATTATTTTTTGTGAGGTCGTACTTCTTCCCAAACATCCTTCTACAGGGTTGCCACAGTCAGGAAATACAGGGAAAATGAAAAATTTTAGGAAATTTTAAAAAGTCAGGGAAAATCTGGGAATGTAGGGGAAATGATTGAAGTTTCAGGGAAACATTGTTAGGCCACCTTTATTTGCTTTTTAGGATGGGTTCGACCTTTGGACCTACAAGTTTTACCTGAAAACTATCTCAACTTATGCCTTTTGAACGATACGGCATATCTTCAATTGTTAGGGGATTTTACTAAAGTCTGTCGGGGAAATCAAGGAAATTAATTTTCTAAATTCTGTGGCAACCTGTCAGGTTTACTGCTGTAAAAATAATGAAACTCACAACAAAGTACATAATGGTTTGAGTTATTTTATGCTTGATTGTTAAGTATAACATTCCACATCTTTTATTTCTGCAATCCCAAATGACTTTTTAATCAGTTAAAGGAACTTAAGTTTCTTGCTCAGATAGACCATAAATCAATGAAAGTTCTCTCAGAACTTTTTCAAATGCTCATAGACATCATGTTGTTTGCCAATGCTAAATTAATTGGAATGAGTAAAGATCCTTTGTCGACTTTTTCTCTGTATATTCTTCAATTTGTCTCATAGTTTTAGTCTGAATTGGTGAAACCATTTAGGTGGTCCATCAAGAACAGTCAGAAGCAAAGGTTTTCGTCTTTTATGCTAGCATTTATGTAGGTACTCGCGCTTCAAAATGTTTTACAAAAAGACTCAGAGGAGGACTGAGTTTTGAAACTATTTGAATTTTTGGCAGCCAATATTGTATTTTTATTTTATTTACGATCCCTAATATTGGCTACTTATGTAAGAGTAATTTGCGGTTACTTAGTCTATTCTATAAATTGTGTTCGTTTATCCATAAAACGTTCCGGATATTTTTAATTGTTCCAGAAATACCACCTTTTCAATAATTGTTTTATATATCACAGGGCTTATCTGAATATTTTAAGTTGAAATTTTTGAGTAGAGAGGCCTGTGTAAGATCAAGGATTTTGAAAAATGAGGAAGTTATTCCAGCTTTTCATCCATATTGATTTATACAGCACTGGTGGATTTTTTTGTTTTGAGCATGTGTGTGTCAAAGATTTTCTTTTTTCATACCGTGAGTTACAGAGAAAGGATAAATGGTCCCAAGCAGAGGCTGATTGCTCTTTTAAAATGTTGTAAATTTTAAGTATAGTCAGTGAAAATTAAGGAAGGTTTCACAAATGTGTAAATAAGATTGTTAATTTACTAGTTATGTTTATATCACAATTTTATTGATTAAAATTTGAACACTTTTTACATCGCCTTGCTTTTTATTTTTGTGTATGACCCGTACATAAGACAGGTACCTCATTTACCGCATTCAGTCAAACAGGTCCTATCAATCTACTTTATGGAGAGTTTAGCTTAGCTGTAGCTTAGAATAGAAGGTTCACAAGAACGTTATTATTTTTTTCTGTTTTGAGGTATCCTAAGAAAAGGAGCTGCCTATTGGACTGAACGCTTCCTTCCTAATCAACAATTTTTGAAGTTTGGCATTTCATATGTTTCATGTGTTATATATTACTACCAGTTTTTTTAGACGCGTGGATCCCTAAGATACGGTTGAAGAATATAGCAATATTTAAGATTACTGAAAAAGCGAATAATTAGATTTTTAAAAAATGTAACCTTAGTAGCAATGGCTCTTAAAAAAAATTCTACAAAAATTTGTCCAAAAAAATGTAAAAAACTTATAAATTTTAAGAGTCAGTAAATTTTAAGTAAAAAAAACTCTTAAAATACTCGTTTTAGGAAACCCTTTTGGAGAGTTCTTTTAAGTAAAAAAATAGTGTTATTTTAATTAAAAGAAAACGTAATATTTACGTGAAAAACAACAAACTATATCCTCAATTTTTATGAACTGCAACTTTTCCTTTCATACTTTTCTGTTCACCACTTTTTTTCCCTCGGTTTTGCCCGCAGGAAGTTTGTAAAAAGAATACGTAAATTTTAAGTAAAATTTACGTTAAAAAAAAAATTAGGTACTTATAATTTTGCTTCAACTTTATGTAAAAAAAGACCCTGAAGGGTTTCCTGATACGAATATTTCAAGAGTTTTTTACGTAATTTTCAAGTGGTTTTGAAGTAAATTTTAAGTTCTCTTAAAATTAAAGAGTTTTTACAACTTTTCTCAATAGTCACTGCTACTAGGGAGTCAATATTCTTTTCCTCTAAGCGGCTGATATCTCAAGTGCAGAAAAATAAACAGATTTTGAATGGGTACCTGCTTTCCCTCAAACTTTAGATTATCTAAATAATTTGCTGCTTGATTATCTTCTCTTCTTGCATCCTTTTCATGAGAATCTAAAATTCTTGCATAATTTCCTTGAGAAAATCGTGAAACGAGTACATACCCATGGCACCTACTACCTACTTACCAATTAATAGTCTTGGACTACCTACATCAACTATTTATGAGATTTTCACCTATTTGAAATTCATGCAGACTTGCCTTAAATTACTCACGTTCATCTTCATTAACACAAGGGAACAAGCAAAATCAAGGGATTTTCAGCTTTCAGCAGTAATTTTGAAAGTCCTAGAATTTGAATTTTCCCTCTTATAAGAATTTCCCGCCAATGAAGGCTTTGTTTATTTTGATTTATTTGTAGGTTATGTTACCAACGAATCCAATTTCTTGGTTGCAAAATGCGTTGAAGAACAATTACTTTCCTAAGTTTCTCCATCATGTCAGGTAAAGTTATTCATTCTTTTGGAAATTATATCCTTTTTTAACTATTAACTTTCAGCATACAGAACCTAGCTTTTCTACTTGCCTATTAAGCAGAAGATAGGTTTAACGAACATCCATTTCAAATCTTGAAGATAGATGTTCTTTTTCCTCAAAGAATGCGATTAAATGTGCTGTTCTACCAATTAATGTTCTTGATTTTCAGTTCTCCTTAAAATTCTGTTGATACGTTATTCCAACAGAAAGTAGGACTGGTTTTGGTTTTAGAAATCTGAAGTCAAAGTCTTCAGTGGGGTCGTCACTGATAATCAGCAAGTTCTGATAAGGCATATTTGAAAGGCTTGCTCTTTGCAAAAAATTTAACTTAGATTAAGGCAAGGTTGACAGTGGGCCGATTATTGAAAGTTTAAAGCAGCCCGATAAGACATCGAATTGTGATGTATTGCTTGGTTAAGATAGGGCTTGGTCTCGTCGAGTTGGGACGGCATACTTAGTTTCAATAATCAGGCCACAGGAATTGCACAGGCTTGAATGAGGTAACACCTAGCCTCGTACAGGAGAATTCCATAGTTTGAGCGCTGACTTATTGATTCCAAAACAGACTTGAACTAAATATCAGTGTTTGACTTGAAGTGCTTGCACAGAACATCTCTAAGTAGGTATTTATTGTACTATAACATTACATACCTGCATTATAACCAATTTTTTGTTTAATCATCGTATCAAGGAGAGTTTTCTTCCATACCGAAAACAGACTTGAATCTGAGAGTAAACATTTTCCTCTGGGATCCAGAAATCAATGCATCATGTCATTTCCTAACCAGGTCTTCAAAAAATTAATTTTGCAATATATTTTCAACGGTCAAATTCTCAAACATTTCATTTGCATTATTGCATACTTTCTGTCATACCTTTTAATTCCGGTTGAAAACTATTTAGCATTGCCAAATGTTCCTACGGATTTGGGTGTTTAAAAAATAACATACATAATTCCAAAACTTATGTAATTTGTTTTCTTTGTGTGAAAAATATGCTATAAAATTTCCAATGAATTATGTTGATTCTTTCCCTACTAAAAAAATCAATGAGAATGGAGATTTTGAACTTCCGGAATTGAGATGCGTCGTTCTGGAATTTCGCCATTGTATTTTATGAAGTGAATCGTAAGTTGTGAAGAAGGTGGTCGTATTGTTTTATTTATGTTTCCTAGATTGCTCATGGAAAGGCACTGCAGCAGAAGATCTGGATAGAAGCTATGGGAAACCTCAATATCCACCCCTTCTTCCCTCTTCATGTCATGCCATTCTAATCAGAGTAAGTAGAAAATGTATTAGCATTATTCATTGTTAAGTAGGGAGTATATTTATCAAATTATCAAATTTTGATTTTTTTTCGGTCCTAGTTATATCTTGATATCTACTGAGCTAAGTTCCATGATATCCTCGGCTATCAGCAGACTCTAATCTCTAGATGAACCTGCGGTTTTTCATTTTTGTATTAAGATTCAAGTTTTTTAATTTCCGCAAATTGCCATGTACTAAGTTGCACCAATAAATGACAAGAACCAAACTTTGAATATGATGTGTACTTACATACATGAAACAATCATTGCATGATCAATTGAGCTCATATAATCGCTAAAAAGAGCAGCATGAAAAGAGCAACAAATTAAGTTTGCTGTCCAGTAGAGGTTAAATGATCGCTGCTTTTAAATCACATGAAAACATAGATGGGAAAACGGCGTGAGTGGCAATATGGAAAATTTTGTATTTTGAGGAAATTACATTTAAAGGTTTTATTGGCTGGTTTCGTGAAGTTACCTTTCCTCTGAAAAAGCTACATATCGACGGTGTAAGTTGGCAATCACACATCTCGTTTGCGGTGTCTAAAAATCTCCGCCTCTATGTTATTTTTTAAAAGGAAAACAAATTGACAGCATTCATTGAAGTTTTTGCAATTTTCTTCTCTGTGCAAAGAAAATTCACGGCAGTTTTAAAGAATTGCCGTTGAGTAGTTTTCCGTTCAAAAAATGAAGTATGACAGGAAGTCTGCGACGTCGCAAACCGAGTTATGTGATTGCCGACTTACACCGTAGATATATTGCTCAAAAATTCAGGAACAGTTGCAAAATTTTCTAACACTTGAACGTATGCCGAAGGCAAAAAGCTGTTGTTGAGAAAAATGGTGCAACTGTGGTTATACAGTTTGCCCTTGTTGCTGTTCTTATTGTGATTTCAATTTATGTTTGTGGATTGTATTTTTTTAGCTTCCAGTGAGGACAAATGCCATACCCGAGCCATTCCCTCGTCAAACTCACGATGTATGGAATAGAAATTACGTTCGACTGCCATGCTCGCCTCAAAGCTTATATCCTGTTTCTGAAGTATGATATCAAATTTATAATCCTAAATGTCTCGTCTGTGCTTCTCAATCGCATGTGCCTATTCTATGAAAACACTTGCCAATTGCTAGATTGCAATCGCTAATTTCTATTGTTTTCAGAGGACCTAATTTTTCAGAATTTCTCTGTCGTCAGGCTCCCCGAAAAATTTGTGCAATTTTTCAAAGTGTTTTCATATTTGACACGGCACAATTCTTACTCATATTCGGAAGAATTTTCTCAGATTTTAAGCTATCTATAAATAGTGGTACAGTGAGCACTTCTCCTACTTAAAAGACTTGCGTAGCAATAGACTCTTGCTTTGCTATTGCTGAGAGAATAATTCAAACCAGTGTCTTTAATTAAAACGATTTATGACTATGGTGAAACTGGAAGAAAATGTGCATCTTGATTTTGGTTTTTCAAAAATTTCACTCTTATTTTACCTTTTTTTTTAAAAAGCACATCAACTAACATTTAATATAGAATTTTTTGAGGATCTTGAATAGGCAAGGAAAAAAATGATGTAAAATTTTATGTTAATGATGAATGGATTACACTTTGCAACAAAAAATTGCTATTTCTGGCCCATTTTAGAAACAACATACATGCCATTGGTTTCCCTATGCAGATATGTGCTTTAATGGAAGAGCCAGAGATGGCAGAGAGTGATGTGGTTCCTTTTTGCAAAGTGTAATCCAAATGAACACTCCTCAAAGACATTACTACCTATGACAGAGATTTGTAATCCAAAGTTTTCAAGTTTTATCACGGATAATTCAAAAGGTCCTTTCTCTGTTATTTTTTCACAAATATAATTAATTGACAGGAATCTGAATTAATTTTAAGCTAGGATCATTGCTGTGAATGTAAATGAAATTCTCTAATTCAATCAATCATCTATCAAAAATAGAATTGATTAAATAATCATGATCCACATGATGAAAAGAGAATGATGTTTTAATTATTCTCTTTTGTCGAGAATCCCTCTTTACCTTTAATATTCTAAATTTATCTTGTTTCATTCTAGGATGAACTGCAGAAAAGGTGGGAGATAATCCAAGAAGAACTTCAAAAATCTATCACCTCCTCCACTCAGTTAGAAACAGCAATTTTATCATATAATTCTAGATATGCATCTAAATGGAACTTTCAAAGTCTTCACTATTTCTTTTGCGAAGTAAGTAACGCTTGACATTTTATTCCTAGCCTGTGAAGGCTTTACGTCTATTTTTTGCTGTGCTACAAAGGCTGTCTCTTAAATACATTAACACTCAAACTGACATTGTATTTCAAAATCAAAGCTATCAGTCACGCTGATTGTGGTCTCATTTGAAAGATGTAGTAAAAAGGAATCAACTTATTTGAACAAAAATTGACCAAGTTATCGCAGTTTGAATATGAGGTGTACGGAAGTGTTGTGCATTTTTTGCAAAATTGCAGCAGTTTGTTAATTAAGAACAAAAATAGTCATAGCTTTGACAATTTTGCCAAAAATTGGGCTTTTAAAATGGGGAGGCTAGTTCGAAAAATGGAAAAGCTAAGAAGTCTCTGCACTTCAGTTGATTCACATGTAATTTTTCAGGCTATTTTTCGTTTCTCTCTGCAAAAAATCAGCTGAAAATTCCATTAGCATGATTAATCTGATTTTAGAGGTTTTTTATTATGAATAATATATCAATGGATTCAACATTTTAATATTATTTAGAATTATTAACCTTATTTTTTTTACTTATTTTACAGACGGTGGAAGAAGATGAAGCAAGAATTTTTTTTGAGTCTATATTCCCGAAATTGGCTCAGCTAGCTTGCAATTTGCCGCAAATTTTAACCGGTGGAGTGCCTTTGCTAAAGCAACATTCGAGTGCTTCAATTTCCCTGTCACAGTTGCAGATAGCTTCTCTTTTAGCCAACGCATTTTTTTGTACTTTTCCTAGTAGAAACACATTAAAACAAACTGCGGAGTATTCCAACTATCCAGATATTAATTTTAATAGGTACTCACCCATTTCATCTTCAAGTTTGAGTTTCTGCATATTATAAAATTATAGAGGTTTAAAATTTTAGTGATGAACATTGCTTAAATTTGAATGAAGGAAGGAAGAATATTAAAGAAAATTCTTAATTTATAAATGAACCTTGCCTTTCCTTGAAGCGTGAAGGTCTTATCTGTAATTATGTGTATTAGATCTAGAGAATTTTTAATCTTCATATAAATTGAAAATTGTTATTGTAAAAAATTGTAAATTGAAATACAGAGGTAATTTTTTAATGACTCAAGCTGTCTCATGCCTCTTTCAAAAGGGTCTGACTATAAAATTTGCAGGCTAATAATTAAAAACTTTTAATTCATTATGTAGAAAAAACTGGAAAGCAGGATTAAGATTTATAGGTACAACAACATTTAAATTAACTGCTTTGTTCTTTTATGTTTGGTTCTATGTGTAACCATTCACAGTAATACGTAACCATCCCTGGTAAGAAGGATCATACTCAATAAAGACGACATTCTTAGTGCTTACAGTAATTCTTGTTGAGTTAGATCCGAGAGTCATATTTGTAGTTTTCGACAGGAGACTCTTTAATATTGCCTTGGAGAAAAAGTTGTGAGTGAGTTCCTTAATTTTTGTGCCAATTGGTCAGTTGCGCTAGTTACAGAATCTCGTCTTGATGGTTCAAGCGTGTTGACTAGCAAGAAATTTTTGATGGATGACATCTCTGTTAATATCAGATGTGTAATCTTGGTGTTAGGAAAATTTGTTCGCTAATTATGAGCTTAAACCATCTAAACTCAACTCTATAACCAGTGCCACTGACCCCTAGAGGTCATAAAGTTGTACTACATGTACTCTAACAATTTTGCACTGTGAACATGGCCAATTAGAAATTTAAATGCCTTTGCTTGAAACCATGTCTTTTTAACTTGAAACTCCAAACCCTCAAAACGTTAGTTTGCTTTGAAATTTTTATGCAGTCTTTATCTTAAAATGCTCGTAATACATTCCTTTATGCTGCCATATCAATTGCACTATGGTATCAATAATACTAAGACTGTGGTATTTAACTCAAGTTTCAGTTTTTGTGAACTATGGTCCTTTATTTCACGGACAATCACACATTTCAACGTTATCTAAAAATATTATCTTCTTTAACAGGTTATTTGGTTGTGGTCGAGGAGATAAAGAACCCTCCGTCCAAGAAAAATTAAAATGCATCATGAACTACTTTAGAAGGGTTGTCAATGATCGTAAGTACGCACTCAATCTATCTTCTGATACCTTTTTCATTTGAATGTCATCCATTTGTCTTCATTTTTGTATATGAATGCAAATCAAAATCTGTATCAGCTTCGGGCAGTTACTACATAAACGTATAGCAATGGCCAAAGAGCAAAACCATGTATCTACATTGCGGTGTTTCAAAATTCCTGTTCCTATTATGGTTTTTTCAAGAGAAACAAAGCCGACTGAAAACAAAATACCTATTCTGTATAAATTTCAAGATATAAAGATATCTTGAAATTTATACAGAATAGGTATTTTGTTAATAGAGAAATAAATCAAGGATGTTCCTTAGAAATTACGTTGATTAATTTTCCAAAAAAAATAATGTATGATAGGAAGTCTGCAACATTGCAGATGGAGATACATGGTTTTGCACTTCGGCTGTCAATGGTTTTTAGAAGAAAGAGAAGGTATTTCCTTCATTTAATTTGTCATGGTGGGTTAGTAAAAATTAGCAACATGGAATCGAAGTCAAACGTTTGAAAAAAGTTGATTCAGGAAAAAAGTAATCTGGATTGTTTGTTTTGTATTTGCCTTATTTTCAAAATCTACCATTTGCCATATCCTATATTTTAAACTATGAAGTTGTAGTTAGATGTTTTCTAAGCTACTTTATCTACAGACAACATTTCAAAAAAAGTCATGTAACCTCAAAAGCATTATGATTGATCATGTGTTGGTTTTTAAAATTCTCATCTATAGATTGATGCTCAGTGACTCATGTGCTTAGTGACTTGTGTGCTTAATGACTTTTAATTAGGTTAGCCAAGTAATGAACCATTCTTTTTTGTTCTCCACCTGTTTATTTCTGTCTGGTTCAACTCGTCCAATTGGTTCATTCAACCTGTTCTGGTTTAACATTGTTGATTACTTGTATTGAATGATTCAAGTGTGCAGAAGTAATTTTCCCTCCCATTTCATAGGGGATCGTAGGTGGATTGTTATTCTAACTTTACCTCATTTTGAGAAAAATGTCTCCAAAAGGCAAGAATCATGGACTGACCAAAAATGTATTCCTTTTTAGTGCCATTAAATTTTGCAAAAAAGGAAATAGTATGCGTTGACTTAAAACGGACTTATTTTTCAGGACAAGCAACTGTGCAGAAAGACAAAAATCATGCAAGGACTGAATAGTTTTCCTAACTACACTTCGCTTTCCTGCCAGTACTAGTACACCCAATACTACATTTTTATGCAAGCCTGAAATGATTTGTTGCAATTTTGTTATTATTGAGGTTTTGCATTGTACAGCACCGACAGGTGTTGTAACTTTTTCTAGGTATTATGTTGTCAAAGAAGCTTTACCGAATTGGGCTGAAGTACAGTCGAAGCTGCCGCGTTTGCACATCTCAAGCGAAGGAACCATCGAAGATGAAGGCCAAGGCATGTTACAAGTCGACTTTGCTAATAAGTGAGTGCTGTTTTCCATACTCTATAATATTTTGTTGACTGAAAGAATTTTGGACAGTGAGAGTTTCCATGGTACACAACACAATGCAGCTAATCTAATGCAATCATGATGGCAAGTACAGTGCATAAATGAGATTATTCACTGGAAAAAAGACTTTGGTACGCAACAAATTAAAAGGTAAGTATTAGTATCACTTTGTAGAGGAGTGTTTCACAAACATTTTGGTTTGATAACTTTACAGTGACACTCTCCTTTTCTCAAACTTACGAAGTGCATACTTTACTTCCTTTCTTCTCCTTTTCACTTTTGAATAATCGCCTCAAATTACCGTATCTCCTCCATACTTCATGTGATAGTTAGGGCGCAAAATGCCTCCCAAACAATCAGGGACGTCATTAAACTGTCAGAATATTTCCTGATGATTTGTTTCTGCATTCCTATAGATGAACATTTTTTGTTTCTTAACCCTTTCTTGAAGACTTTGTCACCAATTTTTGAATCGGCGGATTGCATGATCAGGTCTTGTTTGCATAGGTGTTTCATTTTGAACGGAACACCTCAAAAATCTTCGTTAAAATTCAAGTTTTGATCATTTTACAAACCTCTAAATTTTTTCAGGTTTGTCGGTGGTGGGGTTCTCAGCATGGGCTGTGTGCAAGAAGAAATTAGGTTTGTCATTTGTCCTGAGCTGATCATATCTCGGCTTTTCACTGAATGTCTTGATGACACAGAAGCTCTTATTATTACAGGTAACCAAATTTTCCTTCTCTGACAGATGACATCGGGAAAGTTACGTTTTGTTCATAGGATCTTATATCCTCTAACATTCAACCCTCATAAAGAGTAATTTGTAATTTATAGTGTAGGGTGATAATTTGTTCAAAGCTTTCAGTTTTAAACAAGGACGATCCTCATTTTTTGTCTCAGTTGAGTCTGAAGTTGAATTTTGCATGTGCATGTAAGTTCTGCTCACTCTGAAAATGTTCAATTTTTTATCGGATAGGTCTCCTTCGTGGAGAGCAACTTTTCCTTCAAGTTCTCTGTAAAAGAATCCAAAAATATCTTTTTGCGTTTAATGCAATACTTAGTCATAAGTTGAAATTTGGTATAAAAAAATTATTCCCTTACTTTTAATTGTTTTGCTCATTGCGCATCCGCACCCTGCATTCCATCATTTTCTAATGATTAGAAAAAATTAATTAAGAGGCCGCCCAGATTGTTTGTCGGATTGTTGGATTGTCGTTAAATGATATTTAAAAAGAAATGAAAGAAGTGTACAAGGAAGATTGTTTAGACAGAAGCAGTATTCGTCGCTGGCTTGTTCTTTTCTTTGCAAAAAGTACCCCTAAAATCCTGGAGGCGGTCTCTCAACATCCCGCGGGAGAAACGTCATATCTCAGTCAATTTTGGACCAAAAGAGCTCAACAAGGTCTCATTTTATCGGTTTTTACTCCCTCTACACGAATATGTACACTGATTTTTTTTTGCTTTTTCTGTTTGCTCTAATAGTCGATTATTACATTACTTCGTGGACAGCCTATGTTTTATCAAATCTTATGATATAATGCTTGATTTTTAATTTTCTTGCCCTTTTTCCTTTTTTTTACCATGGATGTAATTCTTTCCAAACAGGATGTGAACAGTACAACAAGTACACTGGTTATGCAGATTCTTTTTCATGGGCCGGTGATCATATTGATACAACTCCAGTAGATGAATTTGGGCGCAGATATTGCACTGTAGTAGCAGTAGACGCAATTTATTACGCTCGAAATCCCAGCTTACAGTTTTCTCAATTTCATCTTCAACGTGAACTGAACAAAGTTGGTATCAGTCTTTTAATCTTCTCTTCACTATCTTTTTCGTTTTTTGGTGTATAACATATGTTTACTTAATTATATGAAAAGTACAGTTAATTGATTGTTCCTTATAGTGGTTAATTAAAGGAATGGAAGAAAAATTGTGAGAGAGAAAAAAAAAAATAATAATTGTAATAAATTTGTATTGACAAGAAATACCTGTATTTATCAAATACCAAAAGAGTTGACTGAATATGTCCGGCTGCTTACCATCAAAAGCTTATGAACAAGGGTATAAAAAGTGGAAAAACAAATATTTAGTTTGTTTTAATGTTTTTAGAAGTTGCTCAGCATTTATTATTAAACTAAAATCCAGAATTCGGCTCAAAGTGGCGGGTACATGTTAACTCTTTATATTGTTCCAAAAGGACCTTTTCCTTAAATCGTACAGACTTTAGTGTATGAAAACTATTGCAAACTTCTCTTTTGGTTTCATCGAACGATTCTTCTATTTTCTCTTATTTTGTGTTTTCTTTTTGGGGTTTTCCAGGCATTTGTAGGTTTCTCTTTTGGCCCCCCAATTTGCGGTATAGCAACTGGAAATTGGGGTTGCGGAGTTTTTTGTGGGAATGCAGAATTGAAAGCATTACTTCAAGTGATGGCTGCAGGACAAACAGGACGTGATTTGGCGTATTTCACTTTCAAAGATGACAAACTGCGAGATTCCATCTATAAAATGTATAAATTTCTCTGTGATAAAAGATCTACTGTGGGTATGTTCCTGTTAAAATATTTATTTTGTTTGGCATTGTTTTTGCTAGAGTTTGGTCGCTTTGTAATAAAAAATAGGCATGTGTTCGAGCTAAATAAATCTCTTCTTTTGATGAAAAATTTGTAATACATTGTTCAAAATTGAACACCATAGAGATCATTAGTGGTTTGAATGATGCCATGATGGTTAAAGACGTAGTAATGACACTTCTGATGCCCAATTTCTATCTGACATTACTGAATCATGAAATTGTGAATTCAACATCAATGTCAGAGTTTTGGATTTTAATTTTTGATTTTCTTACCGGTTGCAAATGGTCCGCGTCAGCTACAAAGGAACCAAGCCACACCAGCTACTACCAAATTCAATCAGGCGGTTTAATTTTTTACATGAAAACGGCTGTGCGGATTTTCTCGCAAATTTCAGTGAATTTTTTCCGTAGAACGAAGCAAATTCCTTACAGTATTCAAGGGAATCCGCACAAACGTTCTCTCTCTTGAAGAAATTAAATTGCCCAGTTCAATTTGGCAATGGCTGATGTGGCTTGGTTCCTTTCTGTTGGACGTAGTCCAAATGACCAATGAACCTGAAGCTTAAGTCAGCGTGAGAATAATTTTACATATTTGAGACTTTCAAATCACCAGAGACGTTAATCTACTTTTCCATTTTGTTGCAGGAAAATTGTACAAGCTCCTCTGTAGGTTTAGCGATCATCGTGCCCAAAATAAGAATTCTGATCTCTATTCGTTCCTATACTCTGAATTCAATGCACCAGCTCAGGTAATTTTTTTTGTCATTTTTTGCAAGAAAAATAATGTTGCGCATAATTTTGAAAGTTTAGGCCAACACAATGGTTTGTGAGGCTTGAAAACTTCCTTGTTGACTATACTTGAATTTTCTCCAAATTTTGTAGTCTTTGAATATCTGGAAACGTTAAAAAATGCCTCAATGCGTCCAAAAGTCTTTGAATTTTACATTATCTAGTGATTTTATTGACTAACGTTTGGAAGATTGATTATTTTTCCTTTTCTTTGTGGAGACCTTCAAAATGTTGAATAGTTTTGTCTGTAAGTCTTAATTTTGTTTCTGTGTAACTTAACGTAAAGATTAAAGATAGTGGTGAACGGAAATTTTCTTTATATTCTGTATTTTTTAGGGACTCAAATAGAAATTTTAAGTTAAGAAAACTTCACATTCATTGGAATGAAGCTTATACCATTTTCTCAAGGGAAAGACTGTTAGTGCAGAGGTTTGGTTTAAAGTTATTTGTCCTGGATTTTTGGCATGGTTGAGCTGAAGTGCTCAAGTCAAAAATCCAAAATTGGACAAAAGCCCTTGTGCATCAGTCTAAAAAATCACTGTCAATTAAAAAAATTGCAAATTTTTGAGAAACAAAAACAGGATTTGACCACAAAAAAAGTTAGATTCTGTCACAGCAATATATTTCCCTATCATAGAAATGTTATTACATAGCCAAATCCTGTTTTCATTCCTCCAAAATTTGCAAATTCTGTTGAGAATGTTTTTTTAGACTTACGCACCAGGCCTATTGACCTTTTTTTGGGCCAAGAAGTTAAAATCTGCCTAGATTTTTGACCTAGTCGATGCTATTTATCGCCTTGAAGTTCAACCTTTCCAAGAGTTAGACAAAAATCACGTTAAATCAGAGGTTCTCCTCATTTTGGTAAGGCTGAGCTCTTTTAAGCCCTCTTTGAAAGTTAATTGTCTTCACAACAAAACTCATGCGTTTGATGTCTCTTTTGTTTTGCAGAGTAAACTAAGTTTTAGCAAGCCAACCTCAGAAAGAAGAAGTGAGAAATTCGAACCCAGAAAAGTCCAGCCACCGAGGCAAACAACAAGTTCTTATTTCAGTGCTAACTCGTCATCAGCGACGGACTCGAAATCATGTGGGTTATCTTCAGATGAAATCGACAACCTTTTGAGTTCAGTGGATGAAAGCACTTTCAACTCAACACCTTTGAGTCAAAAAGGGACCAGCAGTCAAATTATAGTCGATGAAAGTACGAATGGGACCTGCAGCCCCAAACTTACAGAAAGTCAAGTCATTGAAGACTCAGATCAAGAGACTGACGTCAATTTCAAGGAGATAAAGACTTACGTCTTAAGCGAGGAAAAAGATAGAAAGGTCTGTCTAGAAAAACATAGGAATAGCTGGAATCACATTGATTTTGGACCCAAAACTGAAAAAGGTAGTCCCAAAAACGTTGATTTTTCCACTGCAGATGATAGGATGGAAGGCTGCAGTGTTGACTCAAATCAAGAAAGGTCTTCTCTTCTTGCTTTAGGAGCCAAAGACTCAGACTCTATCAAAAAGTGCAGTGCGCGTATCGATAAAGTTCAACTGAAAAATAGTGATTCAAAACAATCTGCAAGTCGCTCGATATCAAAGAACGTGCAAGACAAGGCAGCTACTGGTGTCAAAAGAAAAATTTCAGACTATTTTCTCCCTGTATGATGTACAATGCAGGTTTCAATTATTTTTTAGGATTTATCAATGCCTGAAAGAAACTTCTAAGAAGTAAATATTGAAGGTGGAGCTCCCAAACTATGTATCTTGTTTGCGGTGTTTACAAAGCTCTGCTCTTATTTTATTTGTTCCAAGGAAAACAAATCAACATTATTCCTTGAAATTCTTCTTCAGAGTCCTTTCCCACAAAATCATGGAGATTTTTAAGAATTGAGTTGAGTTTTTAGTTCTCCATTTAAAAAATTAAGTATGACAGGAAGTCTGCAACATTATTGCAACAGTCAATTTCTGCAATAATTGAGATACAAGGTATGGGAGTTTCACCATCGATATATTTTATGCCATCCTGTTCCAAAAAGTATATCATTTAGGAAAATTTGAAACCGTTAATTTTGTTGTAAGGTTGTTAATTAATTTTCAAAATAACTTTTGTATTAATAATTTATTCATCTCTTCAACCAGCAGACTGATTATATATTGAGATTATGTTTTTCTTGTTGAGGGGTGACAAGACAAAGCTGAAATGGAGTGGACAATGTATTATGATTTCTCTCTGAATCCTTTGTCGATTTAGATATAAAAGCATTGAAAGCTCCATGACGAATGTATGTGCTACCCAATCAAAATACATAAAAAAAATAGTACAAATCAGAGCTGTGATGCTGCCTAATTTCAGCTTGGTCTTGTGGCGTCTCTGCTACAGAGATATAATTTCAATTATCGACCTCTAGCTTTAAATTTAATCAGCTGGGACTTTTTTAAATATCATAACTCTGTTAGGAAATTTGTAATTTGAGTATTATCTGCATATGTGTTTAGCCTCTTGTCCACCACTCTGGTCAGATTGACCTGTGAAAAGCACCCCTCCCTACGCTTTTGTAAGTGTCGATCGCTCTTTTCTTTAATGGTCACGACAAGTGCTATTTTCAACTTTTAAGATTCGTTTTATTCAGAAAAAAATTGATCATTATAATATTTTAGTCTTTCAATCAGTAAATGATCAGAAGTTTCAAAGCTCCTCTTATCTCCTGAATTTTCATTAGATTTGCAATGTGTCTCAGGGATTATCGCTTTACTTCCAGTTTTCTTTGTTTATCAATTTTCATCATTTTCAAGTGAAGAATGCTAGGATTCCTCAAAGGGTCCAGTCGAAAAAGTGAAATTTTGGTTACCTAGGGACTAAGATTAAAGAAAATCAGATACCTTGTGGTGAAAATTTCACACTCTCATGGCTAAGGAACAACACAACCCATCTGCAAAATGATAATTTTACCGGACCAAGAACAAACTTCGTCATTTTTGTAATTTTGAGGTCTTGTCTGCAATTGGTGTATGCATTACAGCGTCCCCATGCAAAATTGAAAAAACATCAGCCAACATATTTCATACTTTAGAATGCTGCATGGTCGCTAATTCATTTTCGCCAAAATTTTCAGTTAGGTGGTACTGTTCCTAAGCTCTCGATATGGCTTGTTCCCTGTGGAGGTTGAATGCAGCTGCAATGTGTCATATAAATTTGGACTGAGTTACCAGTTACCTACCTGTCTGTTATGTAAAACTTTGCATTGAAGATCCTTAGTTGAACAGGTTCAACCAAAAGTATCCTACCAGCATTTCTCGTCGCCTACTTTTTTCTCATGTTTATTTTTGTAATAGAGGATTAAACTACTAAATGCTTTTAAACTGACTGTGAAAATCCCCTAGATTATGAAGATAGATTATTGCACCTTCCTGACATTGAATTACGCGCAAAATGCCTGCTAAATTCTAACTGGCCATCAATTCCTGTTTTTTCTCTATGGTTCCATCTCTTTTAATATGTATTTGGGATTAACTAGGTTTATCTTGGATTTTGAACCCTAAGTCTCAGGCGTAACCCAGTTATTGAAAATTTTTTAGCAGGCTTGTCACTTTTAATTTATATTCTGAAGTTTTCCTCATAGTCAGAGTGTTGGCGATTACGCCAGAGTGCATTCAAATTCAGTCTAAAACTGATGTCTCATTACAATTCATCCAAGCACAAATTATCTTTGAAAATAATTTAGCTGTTTGGTGCAACACTAGTTACGACCAGTCAGAAAGGCAACTGTAGATGCATTTTGGGTCTAATGGAACCCCTGATTTTTTGCTTCCAAGCTCCGAGATGCCATGAAAATCAGACCGAGATTTGTTTAGACCAATTAAATCAATCGGTCTAGTCAACCGTTTCCAATTCAGTCAAATCGACTGAATTGGAAGCGGACGTTGATAAAATCACCAACACTTCGTCTGAACTACTCGTGAGTCAAAACGCAATCTGTTTGTTTACCTTATAGTTATAGGCATTAAATAAATACTTTTATGAGGCAGGTATGTACAATCATTGAATGGATTCTTTGTGTTAAGCATGAAACATTACTGATATTTTTAAAATTGTTATTTTGTTTTTAAGTATGTTACTTTGTAAAACACATTTTAATGAGAAAGTAAGAATTGGAAATTTTAATCTTGTCCTTTTTGTGAAATCTTAGGTAGTCAACACACATTTTACGCTCTTGACGAATTCATTAAGTTAAAATTAAAATTATTAGCTCAACCAAGGAAAACACAAGTCTCTTGTTCTAATGATCGAGAATCGGACAGAGTTTAGCAGCAACGCACCAAGTCCCATCAAGTTTGAACCGAAGTCTAAGAAGAAAGTTGAATGTCTATGTTCACGTTCAGAATGCCTTATCTGGACTTTGAATTTTTGATAAAAAAAAAAAGCTCTTGGCCGGCGGAACTATACACTATTTCCAAGTCATTTATTTTTCAAAATTTTGACTTGGTGAGCTGCAGCAAAACTTAGTCCAATTAATGTGAGGAAATTCAATTGCTTGTCACAGAATTTTTTAATGAGCTGAGCTCAAAGGTACTTTTCTAACATGTGATGTTGAAGAAAAGAGGATTTGAAAGTGAGAAAATGTGCTGCTTAGAGCCTATGTACATAATATAAATGTTGCTGAGTTGCCACAGAATTCAGAAAATAGAAGTCCCCTAATAAGATATATTTGATAAAGTTCCCTGACATCTTGAGGTTGTGCCGGATGGTTAAAAAGACATAAATTTAAAAAGTCTCTATGGAAAATTTGTCATTTGAAACGTTAAACCCATTCTAGAAAGCACATAAAAGTGATTTGAAAATGTTTACCCAATACTTTCAACATTTTCTCTGTCTTTTCCTGGTTTTCCCTGACTTTTTAAAATTTCCTGACATTTCCTGGTATCCCATGACTGTGGCAACCCTGATGCCATTTTTCATTTTAACGTGTATGTTTTAGTAGATTCCTATTTTTTGTACGTCCTGTAAAATTTGGCCAATTAAACGATGAGGGTTATTTAGAAGCTCAGTTTACTCAATAGTTTCAATTTTTATAAACTTGTTAAGTATGAAACCATTGTTCAAATCTTGAGCTCTTCCTGCACTGCGTCAACTCTGCAACATTCGCATTTTGTGATGTCAATTTCCTGCCGAGTGCATCCATTTGAATTCTTTCTTACCAAAGATACCTCCTTTTAAAGAGCTTTTTCTAAACGTTCCTAACAACGAAAATTTAAAAAATTTAATTTATTCCTTTAGCTCATAGACTATGAAAATCAAAACAATTTGTGTCGGTGACCCATTGTGCTGACCTCTGAATTAATATAATTGAATTAGTATATAAAATATACCACAATCTTTGTTCCAAATATTACATACCTGATGAGGAACATTTAACTAACAGTCTTTTTAAAAGAAAGAATGCATTTGGCTCAAGTAAAGGAGATAAATGAATGTATCTTTTTTCAATTGTTCATTGTTATTAAGATGCGTTACTCAATTTTTTCAAAATTTTACTTCCTAGTTGTGGATATTTTTTTCTCTTTCTTTCTAGGAGAGAAAATAATGAAAAGGCAAAAACGATTGTTTTTTAGTTTTATTAATTCCTCTCAACATATTGAAACTAAATGAGGTGATGTTGCTCTATTTTTTCAATTTTTAGTTGATATTTGTACATTTAAAAGTGACAATAAAAACAAAAATTTAACAGATAACAATGTCAAAAGGTTGCAAATATAATACATACTATTTACACAAAAGTAAAAATACTTGCCTGAACATGTTTTTACTTTGGGAAGCCAAAGAAAAATTCAGAAACAAAAGAAGTTGATGCGGTATATCTATCTTTTGTACAAATTTACATTTTTAAGAAGAGTTCTCAGATTTAGGCAGGTGGGTAGGTACTTTGGTGCTGAGTAGGAGGAAGTTAATACCTTAAGACCTAAAAAAATTGCAAGTTCCAACCAGTGCAAATCAAACAAAAAAAAAAAAAACTGTTTGATTGCATGTGTAAGTGCTAAAACTTACATATTGGAAAAGCTAACTTTTTAGAGAGTGAATTAAACACTTGTTAACTTTACTACTCGTTCTGAAAGAGAAATAAAAGGACAAACAAAATCCTCACAGTTCAAGAAAATTCCATTCCAGATCCTCTTGCTAAAGAAAGAGGGTAGGCATGTTCAGATTTTGTAAACTTCATCTTGTTTAAAAATTTTTACCGAAGTTCGAGAAAGTTTCAAATATTTCTCTTTAAATTTTTTTGTATTAGTTATTTTTTGAAGTAACTTTAAGTACTGTTTTGGGCAATTTTGAAACCAAATATTAACACATTTCATAAAAAAATACCTTAATTTCATCAGAAGGAATTGTAATTTTATTATGTTTTCTCTGTGAGGACTTGAGGAGTCGTCTTGAAATGGTGGATTTATAGATAATTTTGACCTGAATGGTCCTCCAGGTTCTTATTGCCTTTCCATGGAAATTTTAAAAATACAAGTATTGTGCAAAATTGCAGAAAAATAGCTACTTTCCCAACAATTTTTTCCCAATTGTATAGGACATTCCAGTCTCCCCTTCCTACTCTTTAAACTTTGCCCGTATCAAATCCAACGGACTCGGCAAAATTTCACAGATCCTAAAAATGGTTTTGACAATTTCACCTTCGTCTCAACCAAAAGACATTCTTTCAACCTCACGATATGTAACTTTCAAAATCTGCCTACTCACCTACCAACCGACGACAGCCACCATACTCGCTAAAGGCGAAGAGTGTAAAATATTAAAATAAAATCATTCATCCCTAGGAAATTGGAAGAGTAAGGATCGTATTCATAGCCGTTTATTAAAAAGTTCTTTTCCTTAGGAGCCCCCACATGGTTTACATTGTGAGTAAGGGAAAATTTAGGTAATTTTAGCAATATAACTTTGAAAACGGGTTTTTGAGAGAGAGTACAATGATTTACCATTACAAAATGTACAAAATACGGAGGAAAATACATTGCAAGTTTTGTTAATTTTAAGGTAGATCCGCACCTACCCTCAAATTAATGCCAAAGTCATAGAATTTTTCCGCCTGTATTTTGTCCTTTTTGCGGTGGCAACTCATTGTTCTCTCTCTCAAGGACCCCTCTCCAAAGTTGTAAGTACTGCTAAATTTTACTTGAGGTTGGCAAAAATCGTCCTTTTTATGAAGCTATTTTGAGGGAGTCCTTAATCCTCTCTTAATCAAGATGTAAACCGCAAGGGACCTCCTGAGGAAAGGAGCTGTTTACAGTGTTACCGTGCTGAGGAAAAACGCCGTATAAGCATTTGAATATTGCCAAAACTGCCTCCCCAAAAAAATTTATTTCTGACGACTGTTATGCATATTTTTCCTTGAAATTTTTGGAAACTTTAAATCAAATCTCGAGCAAAATTCTTCAAAAAATCGAAAGAAAAACGTTCTCAAATATTCTCGAAAATTAGAGATTTCTCGAAGGAGATTTGGCAACGCCTAAAGGCTCCGGCGTTCTTTCTTAGCACGGTAGAGTGGCGTGGCGTGCTTTGCGATATATCGATTGAACTGCCATTACAACCTATGGAAAAGGATCGATTAACACGGCGCTCGCAACAAACACCATAATAATCGATTCTTTACCATAGTTTCAAATGGGGTAATTTCGATAATCGATTTTTCACGCTTCGCCACTGGCTTTCTAATAAATGGACTACATTTTGCAATTTGGAACTATAAATTCTAGTCCGGTTCAAAAACAACGTATGTGCCATTAGTTTCCCTATGCACCTAAGTGTTTTTCCAGAAGAGCCAGAATTGGATTGCATTTTGCAAAAAGGAACCACTAGCATTGCAATGTTGCTAAGATTCTGCAACTTCTTTTGTCTTGGAGGAAAAACCCGATGATCCATTCATAGTTTCTATTTTATTCGCTAAAAACTGTAAATTTAAGACAACAATTACCATCTAAATTTCATAGTTTTTCACGATTTCCGCAATTTTATTGCAAAAGATGAAGTTGCACAATCTTGGCATCATTGCAATGCTAGTGGTCCTTTTTTGCAAAATGCAATCCAATTTATAGTTACAAATTGCAAAATGCAGTCCGTATGACTATGCATACGAGCCTAAAGGAATGAGGACAAGGGGGAGAATCAGTGAAGGGTGGTGGCGTCGGTAGGCGGTGGATGCGTCAGTCACCTGAATAAGTGCGTCAATTTGAAAACTAAATCGAAGATATCACTAATGAGCTGCATCGTGTGGCATGAAGCTATGAGCAGGAGCGGAAGAAACCGCGTCACGGCAGCCCCGTTGCTGTTTTCGTGCTGCATCGCAGCTGGGTGTTCACCTGAAACAGGGCAAAGGTCCAGTTCAAAATTAGTCCAAATTAAAAACAAAAGCATGAGAAAGAATACCTGAAGCAAGTAAGTTTTTAGTTCCAAAAGGCAGACGTTCTGTCGCAAGAATATTTGAGGAGCATTCCGGAACAGGGGCACATACGCGTATGTGCCCGGGTGTAATCCGGGTATCGGAACTTGGCTGTTTTGAAAACGCCTTCAAATGCAGCGTGATACCTCACGCATTCTGGAGAGTTCAAATAGTTGTATCATTGCGCCGTAAGAATGTGACGGAAGATTACAATTGAAAAAGCCTTCATGCACGCCGGTCTTTTCGATTGCCTTTAACATTTTTGCAGTGGTGATTGTAAAGCTGAATTGCGCTCCAGCCAGATTGTATTTAGCAAATGGGTGGTTTTTATAGGAGGATTAAGAAGAAACAAGTGGTTAGAAATGAAAACAAAATAATATGAACTATGCAAAACGATAATCCGGATATCGGAACTTGGATGTTTTGAAAACGCCTTCAAATGCGGCTTGATACCTCTCGCTTTCCGGAGAGTTCAAATAGTTGTATCATTGCGCCGTAAGAATGTGACGGAAGATTACAATTGAAAAAGCCTTCATGCACGCTGGCCTTTTCGATTTCCTGTGACATTTTTTTAGTCATCAATGCATAGCGTAAGTGCGCTCCATCTAGAATTGAGGAGCAGTCCGGAAAAGGGGCACATACGGGTATGTGCTCTTTTTCCGGAAATGGCAGAAATGGATTCCTTCCATCCTAATGTACCAATGTCCCGAGTTTCAACATAATTGATCAATTTTTGGAGCTAAGAGGGCAAGTTTTGTGAGGCTAAGTCAGGCGTATTTCATCTTTTCGCCCCTGGGTACGGTCGCCGCGACGCGACGTTGAGGAGATAGCGCGCAGGGGGCAGGCAGGCAGGTGATGGGTACTGATATACGTAAGGATCCCTCATTACAGATGCATCGTACAGATGCAAAATAATATGAACTATGCCAAACGATAATCCGGGTATCGGAACTTGGCTGTTTTGTAAACGCCTTCAAATGCGCGTGATACCTCACGCATTCCGGAGAGTTCGAATAGTTGTATCATTGCGCCGTGAGAATGTGACGGAAGATTACAATTGAAATAGCCTTCATGTACGCTGGCCTTTTCGATTTCCTTTGACATTTTTGCAGTCATCAATGCATAGCTGAATTGCGCTCCAGCTAGAATTAGCAAATAGGTGGTTTTTATACGAGGATTAAGAAAAAACGAGTGGTAAGAAATGAAAACAAAATAATATGAACTATGCAAAACGATAATCCGGGTATCGGAACTTGGCTGTTTTGAAAACGCCTTCAAATGCGGCGTGATACCTCACGCATTCCGGAGAGTTCAAATAGTTGTATCATTGCGCCGTAAGAATGTGACGGAAGATTAAAATGGAAATAGCCTCCATGAACGCTGGGCTTGTCGATTTCCTTCGACATTTTGCAGTCGTGAATGCATAGCTGAATTGCGCTCCAGCTAGAATTTACGGAACCGTACTTACCAAAGTTCCTTCATGAGAGGACAACAATGGAGATGGTGCATGTGTGATGAATTTGGGATTTGACTGTTTATTCTCATGTAAAAGTTCGCGAGAAACACGACGGTGCCACTGGTTTTCTCTGAAATCAACTTCCAAGCTCAAAAAAAGCCCTCAAGTTGAGGCGAAAATGAAGGGGATATGATGATTTCAGAGAAAACCAGTGGCACCATCGTGTTTCTTTTGAACTTTTACGTAAGAATCAACAGTCAAATCGCAAATTCCTCACACATGCAACATCTCCATTGTTGAGAAACCTCTTATTTCAACAAACAATCTTCCAAACTATGCAAAATTTGATATTTCCTCGCATTTTAAGATGATGAGCACTCCCTCTGGCGTTTCCTTCACAAAAAGAGAGAACTAATGGACTGGTATTGATATTATCTTTACATTCTCAGTAATATTATTCCCTGATATGGACATGTGATTTGGATATAGAGTATCTACGTTTCTCTTTCTATGTACCTAGGCATATTCCTTCGGGTTAGAATTCCGTCTTAAATGTACATTTTAAATACAACACAGAAATCCAATTAAAAATTTGAAGAAGTATTTCTCATGTCCTTAAAACGTAATATGCAAACACATTCAATTAAAAATTAGAACGGGTAAGCCTGATGCATGGAGCATTTTAAATGGAAAGCGAAGACCAATCGGAGAACTTTCAATTTTGACCCTAAAATTTAGTCCACATAATACCTGTCGATTTTTCTCTATTTTGGACGGGAAAAAATATCTCGAGATCGGAGTCGAATCTTACGTGCCTCGAGTTGAAGAGCCCGGTCCAGCGGACTCGTGGAGTATCCCGACCAGAAAATCGGACTCAGCGGGTCATTTCCAAGAGGACTAGCTTGGTTTCGGCTCGATCGCGATCGGCGAACTTTCGAATTTGACCCTAAACATTTAGTCCATGGAACCCCTGTCTATTTTTCTCGATTATGACGGGGAAAAAAATTTCGAGATTACAGTCGAATCCTACGTAGTCGAAGGCGCTGAATCGATTGCGCGTGGTCCCGAGGCTCGGCGAGGCATCCCGAAGCAAAGTAGGTAAAAAATTGAAAAAACGAGTGTTTTTACCTACATTAATCCGGAATTTTTTTCTCCACCCGAAATCGAGAAAAGTTGAGCGTAAGCCGTGACCGACGAATCTTCGCAACATCGCAAAACACACCCCCCCCCCCCCCNCCTCGGGCTGTTACCCCTTCAAATCACCCCGGATAAAGATACTGCGAGGGGGTCGGAAAGGTTGGGTGGCTCGGGGAACGAGGAGATATCTGCCGTGCTAAGGAAGAAAGCCGTATGAACATTCGAGATTTGCCAAATTTCCCATGTTAAAACGTTTATTTTTCACCACATTCATGCATATTTCTCTTTGAAATTTTCAGATGTTTAGATAAAATTACGTGCGAAATTGTCCGAAAATTTTGGAAAATAATATTCGCAATTTTCCCAGTAAATTCGGTTTTTATCTAAGGTAATTTGGCAACGCCTGAAGGTTCATACGGCGTTCTTCCTTAGCACGGTAGAATGGCAAGCGGGGAGCTGGAACGGATCGGGAATATGGAGAACAATGAGGAGTAAACGGGCGGGTAATGCTATTTATTACCATACATAAGCGAATGGAACCGAGGAGCGAGTCGTTTGAAACGGTGAAACGCATTCAATCGAACGGAAGACGCGAGGCGGAAAAACCCGCTGGAAAGAACCGCCGCGACGCCGCGAGCCGAAACCGCCCAACTCCAAACGGGTCGTGTAAGCAGATCTGCGGTTTCTGTTGAAGGGGAGGGGAGGGGGCCGATGGAAACAGCGATTCCGATGGTCCCGCGGCCTCGCCCGCGTTTTTGACAATACGGTTCATTTGAAGGCGTCGCGCCGGGTCGGGTCGGGCCGCGAATTCGAGTCTGCGGCTGAAAAAACCAACTCGATCTCGAGCCGAGCGGGGGGTCGCTAGGCCGCACTACGGGAAAACGCCGTATGAGCCTTCAGATGTTGTCCAATTTCTTCAGATGAATCACGAATTTTCGGGAAAATGTCTTCCAATTTGTCATAGAATTTTATTCGTAATTTGATCTACTTAAAGTGACCCAAGTAACATTGTCATCTACTTTCTAGGTGGCGCTCATCAAGAAAATGTCTACTTTCTAGATAGAACAATTTTCTTGAAAGAAAATAGGTATAAAGTAGATCTAGATAATAGACACAAGAAAATAGAAAGGAAACTCATTTTTTCCTTGCATTTTTTTAAAAGAAAACATCAAGAAATCGGCTGGAAAATAATTCTACTTTCAATAAATTTTCTATTTTTTTTTCCAAATGAAAAGTTGACAGAAAGTAGACCTATGAAATAGATCTATTTTCTTTGGTCAGACTTTTGACTCGCAATGTTTTTTCTTTCTATTTTCTAGATAACTCTCATTTTCTTGGTATTTTCTAGAAGTTTTCTTAATATTTTTTTTCTAGAAAAAAATTCTATTTGGCTGCTTGGGGAGAGAGAATTCCAATTTGTCGGAGGATTTTATTCGTAATTTGATCTACTTAAGGTGACAGAGAATTCCAAGAAGAAATGCATTGCATTCTGCGAAAAGGAACGAAGAGCATTCCAAAATTGCCAGGATTGTATAACTCACATCATTCTCCGCCAAAAATTAATGAAATCATGCAAAAAATTAAAACAAAGATAATTTTCGTTTTGAATTCACAGTTTTATGGGAGTAAAGATAGATATTGTTTAGATGATCAGTTTATATTTGCAAAGTACAAACGTTGCACAATCTCAGCGACATTGGAATGCTCTTGGTTCCTTTTTGTTGTAATATGCAATCCAAATATTCATAACTTCCTTCAAAAATACATTTTTTCAAGGAGGAAATTTGGCAACATTCAAATGCTCATACGGCGTTCGTTTTTAACACGGCACTGGTATCGGACGGATACATTTTCGTCTTCATGAGCCTACACGATATCGACTTTGAAACGCTCAAACCTCGAACCTATCTCGGTTCGCGATGCTGCAGACCTCTAGTCATACTTTCTTTTTTAAATGGAAAACGACTCAACTTCAGTACTCAACTTCGAAAACTTCCATGATTTTCCTTTGATAGGATTTCCTTTCCATATCAATGAGCCGTGGTTGTGTTGAAAAAACAATAAAAAAATAAATAAAACAGGAAAAAATACTTAGAAGCACGCCATCTATGATTTTAACCTATTTGTACATCGATTTTTTAGAGGCAAATACGTCCAATTTTGAGCGTTTGGTTGCGCGTACACCACGCTATGCACAGAGAAAGCACAAAATATAAAAGATACAATTAAATTGCCTTGGAAATCATTACATTTCACACGGAACCACTTTAATATTTACAAAAAACACACATTATATTTTCCTGAAATATATGTTTTTTTTTTAAAATCAATTTAAATGAGGACAATCCATGCAGAGTGTGCAAACATTTCAAAATCATGAGTTGAAAAACACTGACTTCGCGAGTTTAAATATTAGAGCTTAACACAGAACGGAGCGGTGCGGTGTGCTGCCAGCGCGAAACGCGCATTGGCGCCTACAAACCTAAGGGGATACTTCACGCATTGCGCAATGCTTGAAGTATCCCCTTAGGTTTGTAGGCGCTGGCCGGCTGCCCGCCGCGCCGTGCCGCAGCGTGCCACTGCCACGGCGCCTCAAGAAACTATTTCACAACAGAGGTGTTGCACATTATCAAACGAAATGGAAGGCACTGCATCATATTAAGAATGCCAGTAACCTTTATGAGTACGGAGCTTTCCTCGCAAGATAGACGAGACGTCGTGTCCTACGGCACAAAAAGAGAGCGGTAGTCCAAAAACTCACTTACTCCTAGCATCCCTATTTAAGAAGGTTTAGCATAATTTTAGAATTTTAAAAAGTGACTCGATTTAGGCAGAAACATTCTTGAGTATACCGTCAAGAAGAATTTATTTTGAATCAAGAACAAAATCGCTGAATCAAAGCGGGTTTCTGCTCTATGCAAGTGACTTCTCTTTTTATATGAGCATCTTTTCTTCTTTAAACAAGCATTACTTTCTTCACTGATCCAACAGGAAATCAGCGGTAAATTTGAGCTTATTTCTGTTTGAATTAAGTCACTTTTTCCCCTAATAAAAAATCATGCTAAACGTCATTGAACACGGATATTAGGACTTAGTAAGTTTTTCGACTTTTTTTAAGTTTTAAACCACTTTCCTTATTTCGCTTGTTTTTTCCGTAAAAAGAAAAAGGGAAATAGGATTAAATATAATATCGCTACTAAATTTCCCCTGATTTCAATTAAAATCGTTCGTAAAAGTATTGTAAATTTTTCAGAGAATCTTACGACGAACGCGTAAATCGCTGCGACACTTTTTGAAAGATGCCATCATCATGATAACTATAACTACATTCCTCACCAAGAAATAAAGATGTATAAGAAAAGTCAAACGAGGTCAACAAGGTCTTAATATCAGATAAAATATTCGAATCCGTATAGATTTATCAGTGCCTTCAATCTCGTATGTTACTGTAAAACAAAAATAGCTTGTAGTGCCGCGCCGCGGCACGCCGGCGCCTTAGCGAAATTATCGTACACAGGAAAAACCTAAGAGCCTTTAGCTGAGACAAATCAAAATATCTATCCGGTTCAGGTATAACAAGATGGGATTTTCTTGAAAGATAATTAAGTCCTGTTGCACCAAAGAGGTGTTGTAGAGAGTTTTATTGAATTTTCACTCATGGAATTGTCACCCCCATATTTTTACCAAAAATCTCAATTATATATTTCTCTCCGTTTGACCAAACCAAACAAAACAAAAAAAAATAAAAAATGAAAAAAAAACAAAAAAAACAAAAACAAGCAGTGAACTCCAACACAATGTGTTGATAAGGCGCGTCATTAACTCGCACATATCAACCCCTTTAGTTTTCATTTACAGAGATTTCAAAATAGGCAAACAGCATAAAAAGAGAATTCACGATCCAACACTGCGAGGTCAAAGACGCACCTTGACGAGACCGTGTATTGTGAAAGTAGAAAGCTATTCGATCGAATTTAAGTTTTTTGATCTGCCTCAAGCAAAATCTTATCAGATTCTTGAAGAAAAGTGCTACGGAATAATNACTAGCGAGCCCCAGAATGAGAAACAAATTTTAATCATTATTATTGACGGATTAGTAAACTTTTTACACGCTTTGGAAAATCTCAGAAGTTCGCGGTAGTCACTTTTCGGTAAGGAACTAGGGGACTCGGTTATTGTATCGAGGGGGGGGGTCGAAACGATCGCAAAGGCGGTATACTACGTATACGCGCCAAAAATAAAAAAACCAGCAAATCCTCACTCTTCCAAGCAATTATACATTTTCATCAAAAAACGTCGTGAGCAATTGTCGTTTGTATCTATCGCAAGCAAATAGTCAAATCGGGCATTTTATTAAATGCCCAGGAAAATAGTCAAATATTCTTACTTATAGACTAAAATTCTGATTATTTTTCTGACTGTGGACAAAATCGGTCTTTGATCGTGTGGGAAAGAATCCTGTATAAAAACTTGCTTCATACGACGGATTTTTACGCTTGACGGACTTTTAGACTTAAAATATTGAAAAGTTGGGAAGTCTATGTGAAAACAAGGAAAAACCTCGTAAATTCTAAAAATTTGGGTACCTGCCTAGGCATTTGATAAAATGCCTGATTTGACTATTTTCCTGCGACATATCTACACGCGGACCAATTAACTTTGGGTCTCAATTAGTAAGTGGACGAAAACTCTCCTACCGAAAAAACGCGTGGACGTAAACTACTAGAAAAAACGGGTGCGCGGACTAAAAATCCTTGAAAAAATGTCCCATAACCCCCTACACTGCCGTGCTAAGGAAAAACGCCGTATGGGCATTCGAGAGTTGCCAAATTTCCTAAGATGAAACATATACTTTTGAGGAAAGTTATTCATATTTTTCCTTGAAATTTTCAGGTATTCGAGATGAAATCGCGAACAAAATTGTCCGAAAAATTTGAAGAAAAATATTCAAAATTTTCCGAGTAAATTTGGTCTCTAGTGAAGGATATCTGGTAATGTCTAATGGCTCATACGGCGTTTTTTTCTTAGGACGCACAGTGGATCGAGTCATTGGGAGAGGTCGGACAAAATTTGGAAACTTTAAAAACTTATAACTCCGTTTAAACAAAACTTAGAGGTTCTGAAAGTGGCTCCAGTGGTTGTTTCGTGAAATACTAACAAAAACACCCCTTAAAGTTAAAATTGTGATCAGATAAACGTAAAATTTTACAATTTTCGGTCAAAATTTCATGCCCGACTTCTTCCATTGACTTGCGATCCACTGTGGGACGGCAGTACAGAGAGTGGAACCCGTAAAATAGCATAGAGAAAAAAAAGGAGGTGTTTGCATTTCGGGCATCTTGGAATTTTTTGATGACTTGATGACGTAGGTCGGTACAGCGACGTTTTTATCCTGTCGGTTTTCTTGGAAATGGTGTAATTTAAGGAAAAAAGTCATTCTATAAAAAGTGCTTGAAATTATATAATGAGTTGATTTAAGTAAAAAAATCAGACATTATGGTCCGTTTTTCATATTTAGCTAAACGTCGCTGTACCCACCTACGTCATCAAGTCATCAAAAAATTCCAAGATGCCCGAAATGCAAACACCTCCTTTTTTTTCTCTTTGGTAAAATAGGTGATGGAGGGACTGACCATTGAGGACGTGAACGAAGACGCTGGCCGAGTCGGAGCTGGAGGGGGAGCAGGTGTAGTTGCCGGAGTCGGCGGGGAGGGCGCGGGAGATCATGAGCTTGGAGGTGCGCGTCTGCTTCTCGGTGACGACGCTGATGCCGCCGCGCTGCGAGTAGTTGATGACCGTCCCGCCGCGGTACCAGTAGATGAACGAAGGCGGGTCCGGCGTCTCCATCACCTCGCACGTCAGGTTGATGTCGCTCCCGCTCCGGATGTGGATCTCCGGGTTCCCCCAGATCTGCGCCTTCGAGACTGAAACACAACGGGAAAACAACACAACTCAAAAATCTTGTTGTAGAATGGTGAACAACTTGGTCAGTCCAAAAATACAGTGAAATCTCGCTTGGGGTTTACCTCATAGAGTACTTTTGCCGTACTAAGGAACGTACGAAACACAAGGGGAAAACAACTCAAGTCAAAAATCTTGTTATAGAATGGTGAACAACTTTGTCAGTCCAAAATATAGTGAGATCTCGCTAGGGTTTTACCTCATAGAGTACTTTTGCCGTACTAAGGAACGTACGAAACACAAGGGGAAAACAACACAAGTCAAAAATCTTGTTGTAGAATGGTCAACAACTTTGTCAGTCCAAAAATACACGCTGGAAAAAAAATCTCGGTGTATTTACTAAGAAAAGGGTAAAATTACCAAGAATTCAGGGTTCTATTTGATCCCAGTTTTTTCTTGGTAAAATTACCATTTATGGAATTGGTAATTTTACCGAGAAATCTCGGTAGAATTATTGAACTTTCTCGGTAATTTTACTGGACCTTGGTAAAATCGCCAATATTTTTTATCGACTGTGGTAGAATTACCGAGATAAAATGGCAAAGTTACCGAGAATTGTTTACCAATAAAAGTGGTATTCTTACCTGAAAAAAAAAAACAAGCAGTGAACTCCAACACAATGNTTATTGACGGATTAGTAAACTTTTTACACGCTTTGGAAAATCTCAGAAGTTCGCGGTAGTCACTTTTCGGTAAGGAACTAGGGGACTCGGTTATTGTATCGAGGGGGGGGGGTCGAAACGATCGCAAAGGCGGTATACTACGTATACGCGCCAACAGTAAAAATACCGGTTTTTAGGTGAGCTCACCAGTCTGTCTTGGTAAAATTACCAGTAATTGGTAAAAAAAATGAGATGGTAAAGGTACCAACGGACCTTGGTAAAAACGCCGAGATTTTTTTCCAGTGAAATACCTCATAGAGTACTTTTGCCGTGCTAAGGAAAAACGCCGTACGAAAATTCCAGAGTTGCCAAATTTCCTTCGATAAAGTGTTTATTTTGAGGAAAGCTGGGAATATTTTTTCTTGAAATTTTCAGGAACTTTAGGTGAAATTCCGAACAAAATTATCTGAGAAATTGAAAGAACAATGTTTAAGAATTTTCCCGAAAATTCATGATTTACTAAAAGAAATTTGGCAACGCCTGAAGGTTTATACGGCGTTTTTCCTTAGCACGGCAGATATGGAGTCGTACCTAATGCAAATGGGAGAGCTGGAGCCATGTTCTACTTGGCGAGTTCCGAGCCCGGTGTGCGCCGAGCTTCGGTCACATTTTCGATCCAAAATGGCGGTGTGGAATACGTGGTAATTCCTATCTTCTTCGTTTACATCGGATGGTCATCCGACCATCCGAACCCGTGTATCGAAAACAATCTATTATGTTTTGAAAAAGTGACCAGGCGTCACACAGGAGTGTCGAAATTCGGGATTTGGAAAATGCTTAAAAGTGGCGCTAGCTCTCCCACTTACATTACGACTCTATGTACTCCTTGGGACAGTCCAAAAATGCAGTAAAATCTAGCTAGGGTTTTACCTCCACGGGATGTTTCACGGGATTACTCCGAGGGAAAAATAATCTTATCTGCGGTGTGGGGAAAAATATTTAGTTAGCCAATACGAATAGACGTATTTCTGCTAATCAGAACTAGAGAAGTGTGGAAAAGATGGGGTGTGCTCGTGGTGAGCTGCACAAGAAACGATGTAAAAGTGGGCGTGATTCCTTTTGGGAAGACGGAAAAATGGGATTTTACATTTGCGGGATACAATCCTAACTTGAGCACGCACTGTAACTATGCGGTTATGACTGCAAAAATGGCAAAAAATAACCAGACACGGCCGGTGTAGAGTAGAGGCTTTTTCAATGTTAATCTTTCGTCGCACTGCTAAGGCGCAATGATACAACTATTCGTGCTCTCCGGGATGCAGGAGGTATCACGCCACAATTGAAGGCGCTTTCAAATCTGCCAAAATTAATGTAGCAGTAGCAGTAGATGCCATTAAAAAAAGAAAGTCTGCGTTGGAGTTGGAAGTTTATAGAACAAATATTGTTTAAGGAATATATCGGATTTTAGGATTGGGGTTGAAGCTATTGCAGAGCTTATTATGAAATAAAGTCAGTGGAAAATCATAGAAAGAATGCGTTCATTAAAAAATGAAGTTTGACCGGATATCTGCGACGTCGCGAACTGAGATACACGTTTTTTGGTTCTCACTATCGAATGTCACAAAACAATTCAAACCTCTTTCTCGCCGACGCAACATAACTTAGTTTAAGTCCGAATCATCCTTGGCGACGATACCTTGTACCCATACGTTTGGCAAACCAACACGATTAGGTTGCACAAAACTTCCACACCAATATTTCCATGCATGTGTCAAAACAAGAGTTTCCAAGCTAAAATACGACCTCGCTCCTACCACACCGAGGAAAACCGTAATTTGTACATTCAGATGTAGCCAAATTTACCTCCATTCCAATATCGATGAAAAGAAGCTCTAAATAAGATGGGTCAGTTGCGCTGGTCACGGAATCGTTTTTTGATGCTTGATCCTTGTAGATTCATCACAGCTTCGAGTCTATGTTATTGCACCTGAATATCCATACTTTATCGGAGGAAATTTGACAACGTTTCAATATATGTTCATACGGCGTTTTTCATCAGCACGGCGGTGTGGATATTGATACGTATCAAGTTTTGCTCACTTCTGCGATAGGCTCTCGAAATTCTCAGAGCGTGATGTCATCGAAATTTAATTGCGAATTCAAAACGCATCCAGTTCAGTAAAAACAGCCCCTCGGAGCTCCGATATAATCTCATCAAAGCTTCTAATCATTCGGAAGGGGGCGCTACAATATGCAAGAGTGGTGGAATATGTATCAGCGAAGAATGCAAGGGGGGGGGGGGGGGAGAATGCAATTTACACTCGTTGAGAGGGTAATCCAGTGTAACGCCTCTCTGAACCCTCACATGAATCCCGTATAATAAATTAGCTTTTGAAGCAATAACTCTCCAGAAGTAAACAATCCGACAAATCACTCATCCCCAAAAATAAAACAATACTTACCAGAAATTAATTGAGACTCACAGTAAATACCAAAGTGTGAGGATCGTAGGTTTCAAACAAACCATTGACCAACTGAAAAACATACTGAAGTTCTGCCGTCCAAAGCAAAATCGCCGTATCTCCATCAAATATTTTTTTCGACTTTTTTCTGATGAAATGTTTCATTACAGAAAAACTAAGGAGCGTTCATCCTATCTAGAATTCTTGAAAACCTTTGGCATACTACTGAGAACTCAAACTGAGAAAATGGAGCAGAATGGATTTCAGTTGGTTCGTGAGAGAACAGAATGTTTGAAAAGAAAATGCAAAACCTTGAATGATGAGTTACGACGTTTTTGCTGTGAAAGAAATTAGTGCAGAGTTAAAAGTATGTATAAACTTCAGAGCATCGAGATATTGAGACGATTTTGGCGAAATACTAGTTTACGTATGGCAGAAGGCGGAAACATTTCGTTAAGGATTACATTTTTACTAACAACTGGACTTGATTTTACAGTAACGAACTACTATTTCTGGCTCATTCATAAAATCACTTACCTGCATAGGCAAATTAACAGTATATTTGTTGCTTCTAAAATGGTCATAAACATTATAGATTCGGTTTTTTTCGGGGGAGGGGGGGGGGCAAAAATTGAAGAATTTTCTTTGAAAACCCTATTATGCGGACAAAAGTATCCGAGTGCGAAACCATTTAATTTGACCGATAGAGTGCAACATTCAACATTCGAATACGTTAAGCTTCAAATTAGAGGATTTAATGATATTTTTCGGGAATATGCAGCTACACTGGAAAATAACACACTGTATCTAGAGTCCAGACTCTTAAAAACATCGACAAGAAAAAATACTCCTGATTCAATCAGATTTAAGCTTAAATGAAGAACCAAGCCTCTTAATTTGAGCGGATTTCCTTTTGATTTAATAAATCTGACTGAATCAAGAGTCCTTTTTCTTGTCAATGTTTTCAAGAGTCTGGACTCTAGATCCAATGTGTTTCTTTTTCCAGTGTAGTGTGCTTCTAAACGCAAAAGATCCGGTTGTTTCCTTGCTAAAAAAATTAAGAAAACCTAGCAAACAGCAAAAGATCGATATTTCAACATTTGTTAACTTCCAGCATGGATACATCTTAAAATGTTACAGTCTCTCGGTATGTTCGTAAATCAAGGCTCTTCCTAGCTGAAAGAGGAGTCAAGAACCGTGTGCGCACTGCGCCTCGAGCCGAGTATGAGCGCCGAATTTTATTCCAGACGTTGCCACATTTTGTCTGATGAATTACGGATTTTAAGGTAAAATTAATTGTGAATTGATTTTCTTTTAAATTCTCGAATAATTTCATTCGCAATTTAATCTAATACCTCGTAAAAATAAATGGAGTGGGATCATGAGCAACCTTCAGCTCATTTTCACTGGAGGCTTATCTGAAAATCTCATTTTCTAAGGAACATTGTGCACGTCTATTTCCGCAAGTGAACATTTAATCGGGAAAAATTTGGCAACACTCGAATGTTAATACGACGTTCTTACTTCGTCGCTCCTTTGACGTGAGGGCGTAGCGTGGAGGTCATGAGCTCCGGAAAACTTAGAGCTTTATGGAGCACAGAGCTCACGCGGAAATCGAGATACGCCTTTACATCACACAGTGGATCGAGTTAATTGGAGAGGTCGGACAAAATTTGGAAACTTTGAACGCTTCTAAATACGTTTATACAAACTTCGAGGTTCTAAAAGTGGTGCCATTGGTTTCCTCGTGAAATTTCCTTTTAAAAGCACCCCCTAGAATGTAAAATGTGACGAAATAAACAACAAAATTCGCAATTTTAGTCAAAAATTTCATGCCCGACCCCACAAATTGACTCGATCCACTGTGCGTCAGAGAAGCGACAACTTGGCACGGCGTTA